TTTAATTAAAAATCTGGTGCGACTTCCTTGTATGGCCTATTAAATTATATACAGGTTTTGCGGCACTTCATTTAAACTATTTCATCGAATTTCATTACAGATATATTTCTCATTCAATCAATTAAGTTCTTACTTCAAACAAGGCAAAAATACATAAAAACTCAAAGCATTCTAATTAAAAATTGTAAAATACAGAAAAACCTAAAAGACCAAATACACTTAAAAACAGTTAAAAAAAACTTTTTTTGCAATTAAAATTAGAGTTTCTACACCAAAATAAGCAATTTGGCCAGCTAGAAGAAAGACAAAATTTTTGGTACACAAAACTGAAAGTTAAATTTTCATTTCATTGGGCAAAAAGACACTGAATTTTGTGAGCCAACTGCCTTAATTAAATAATCTACTAAGAGTTTCGAATGTAAAAAAATAGTGGCCTTTTTAGGCTTAACTCAACACTTTCATTTTTAAATTGTTGATAATTCTATAACTATTGTATGCACATTTAAAGGCATAAAAGCTTTAACCAGAACATAAGAACAACATAATCAAATAACTTTTAAAGCAAAAAAATCCACAACTTAAGATATAAGAATTAAAAAAAAAAAAAAAAAAACCTGAGCTCACTGAGCTGGATAACAGAGTGGATATACACATATATATATTTTAAGTGAAATACAGACATCAAGAAAAAAAAATCTTTTCTGAAACCATTTTAAAATCTGTTTTGGCAAAAAAGTCCTTTATTCTGTCTGTATGTACAGATATCACATAAAACCATCATTCAAATGGACTTGTGAGTGGCTAAAATTGAAATTTTCATGGAAATATGATACTTAACATTTTTGGCGATTATAATACTTTGTTTACTTCATACAAGGAAGTAAAAAAAAATTACCTTCCTTTTTTATAGTAATATAAAGCAGTACTGATGGCTAAAAATAAAATAATTTTTTGGTTTCCAACTGGATTTTTCTTTGAGTTTACATATTAAAATGCCTCCTAACTGGTATAGTAGTTAGCACTGCTGACTCCCGTGCTGAAGGGCCCGGGTTTGAAACCAGGAGAAGGCATGGATGTTTGTAAATGTATAGTGTCAGTGTGGCATGACGGCACTCTAAATATACGGCGAGCGAAAAGTCCTCTCGTGTAGTTTGATGGAAGGGAAGAGGGGTAGGAGACCCTCGGACCTGTCCCCCTGGAGTGCTCTCCATCAAAATTGGGGGCAGAACTGAGCCAAATTGCACTATCACCTGAATGGTGTCCAAGGCTGTTGCCAACAGCAGGCATAATCTAGTGCTCCTTTCCACGAGGAATTTCGTGGACTTAGCTGACTACGTCAGACAAGTGAGCATAATCAACAACATACAAAAATTTGCAAATGCAAAATTTTTATGGAAAAAATATCACCAATTTATACATTAACTGAGTCCCACTCCTAATATAAGATCAAAACTGATGTACACAAAGTTAGAAAAATGGAGTCTAGAAGGAAAGTTAACTATGCTATTTAAAGCCATATCTTAAGAAATCGTCGATTCAGTTCCAGTTCATTCCAGTGAATATTGCAATGAAATCAGACAAGAAATTCTTGCATATAAACTATGTCTACACTATACTTACTGTAATTTATTAATCAATATGACTCTTAACTTTCTTATTAATTATGTGTTTACTATAATAATTTGAAATTATTTCAGAATTTCATTTTTGAAATTGAAATTAACTATTTGAAATAAAAATTTTGAGCCTGTGAGTATTTATCTAAAATGTATCATTTTTAGCTTTTGATTTAAAATGAGAGATAGATGGTTCTTTCTTCCACACTTAAGGCAATTATACAATTACTAACAATGCTAATTTCAATGGTCTACAATGCTTTAATATTTGAAAGCCAGAAAATACTAGTAGTTTGCCCAAAAATTTATTCCTGGTAATTAAGAATGCCAGCTGTATTGGATTTTCATGACATCACCTGTATAATAAATAAGAATAATGCTACCTTAGAAAGTCCACCTCCAATATGCATCTTCCCTAATGCAGATAACTGAAATAAAGTTTGAAAATGTTTAAATAATCTAACCAGACCAAGCAGTGGTTAAATAATTAAGCCAACTAAACACTGGTAATTCAACCTGGGTTCAAATTTTGGCAAGGTGTTTTTCTGTTTTTTCGCTAAGGGTAACAAATATGAGCTAGTTTCTTTCAGAAAGTCTCTAACGAAGGCATTTTTTTTCTGTTAGGCAGCTAACTCTCACATGCTTAGTCATATCCAAATAAACAAAATATAATCCAATTCTAATATTTTGATAAAACTGTCATGAAATTATACTACTATTATACTGTCATTAAATACAGTCCACGCTAGATTTAACAAATGTCTCCAATGGATTAGCCTGAAATGTAAAATTAAAAAGCATTTAAATTTTACCATTTGCTTTAAGCATATATACATATATATATATACACAGTAGAATTCTGATAATCTGCGACTACTTTATCCATGAATGCCTGTAATCCATGCTCGTTTTTGGATACAAACAAACAAAATTTTGTTTTTTAGAAAATTCACCATGGTAAATTCAGTGGCATGAAATATACTATATTTTCAATATATTTTGATTGAAGAAGCAAATTTATTTTATTAATGAAGTTTTTTTTTAGCATTTTCTGTAAATGCATCAGTGCATTTTTTTGTAACTGATAAATAATTATTTCTGGATGTATTCTGCACTGCATTTAAAAATTAATTTTGAGTTTATGCTGTTAATATGAGAAAAATATATTTATCTACAGGTTTCAGATATTTTATGATGATGATCAGTTCCAGTTTAAATGCATGCTGTAGTTAGTTTACTTATGTCAGCATTGACAGCAAATAAGGATAGATTTTTAAAATAGTCTTTGGACTGATTTTTCTTGCATTAACATGGAAAACATCATAACACATTCTTTTAATAAATTCAAAATTTCAGTTATAGCATTTTTTGCAAGGTATCAGTCATGTTATTAATTCAATTGTACATGCACAGAATGTAATGGCAGAATTAACATAGAGATTCAGTTTGGAGAAAAACTGTTGGAGTTTTTGGAAACAAGTTATTTATTTACATATCTATTTTTTTGTCCTATTACTAAGAGTGTACAAATGATTTAAAAAGCAACTTCAATCACAGATATGCATATTTTTTTTCTCATTTTACATATGTAAAATTCTTTGATATGTATTTACAACAGAGTTCATTTTAGTCATTTATGTGCAAACAGTCCAATTAAAAAAAGAAAAGGGGGAAAAAAGGGAAAAAAATTTGAAGGCATACTCTATAATCCACAAAATTCTCTATAATCTGCATAACCCTTAGTCCTAAAGTGTACAGTTTATCAGAATTCCATATTTTTGCTGTGCATGTGTACTTCCCCTTGGGAAGGGGGTTGACTCAGGAGAGGAGGCTTGCCTGTTATGTTTTCGACGTTTCGTGACTGGATCCGGGCAGCTCCTTGACTCTCTCAGATGTGTGTACGCGGATTTCGTGAGCGATTTTATATTTTCATTGGTGCTTTTCTTTTGTTAATTAATTTTTATAAATTTGGAAATGTTTAATACTAATGCAAGAGCTATCATGTTTAAGTAGATGAAAATTGAATATTTATTGTTACATTTTCGCAGCTGAGAAGGTAATTTATTTTATTAATGTTTAATTGTCAGATGTTAATTGAACTAATTGGAGGAAGTGAATCTTTGTTTTAATGTTTAAGTTCTATGTTCATTTAATTTCATTTTGACCGAGGATGAACATGCTGATGTGTCACAGTTGAAGAAATATGATTTATTCTAAATTAGCTTTTATAAATGAGTTTAAATTTCTTGAGTTCCTGTTCAAAATGATTAAGAACTTGTGACGCGTTTCACTATGATTTTTGTATTAATGGAATAATGTTTAATATGAGATTGATATGAAAAAACTACGAGTAACTTTAAAAGATTTTTTGTAGGGGTAGTCTAGCCAGCTATTTTAATTTATAATGTGTGGGAATATTCAATAAATGTGTTTATTATTTTTATTATTGTATGTTTTCTTGAGTTACTTGTGGTGTACTTTAAGTCACCCATGTGATCTTTACGGAAACATGGTTATTTAATGGAACCTGGGTAATTATATTGCGGTAGTAGAAAAAAAAAATCAGTTTTAAGAGTTGGTGACTGTACGATCGGTTTACTTAATTTATTTTGATTTTGATTTTGATGAACAGACTTCCTAATTGTGAGACGTATCTTTCCCTGGCGTTTTGGAGAGATCAGTGTGGTATTTTAAATGTTAAGGGTTTTAGGCTATCTCTAGATTTTGTATTGAAATTTATGTGTTTTCAGGTTAGAGATCTGAATTAGTTTTAATTTAGTGAGAGATAGCAGATTGATGATTTTTTTGTGGAAGTGCCATTTGCGCATTTAGGTTTTGAAAAATAATCTTTGTTTTTACCAAAACACCAGGGAGGATATTTTCCTTTGATTTCTCCTTTTATTTTAAAGTGTTAAGATTTTGATTATTATGATTACTGAGTTTTAGTTTGAGTTACATTTTTTTGTCACAGCACCAAAAGAGAAAGTAGAGAGTTTAAAAGTTAAATTTTAATTTTTTTTCTACGTAACAAAATGAAAGATCTAGACAACTAGTAAATTAAAGAGAGAGAGAGAAAAAAAGGGGGGGGGAGGAAAAGCGTTTTATATATCATATTTAAAACTGAATTAAAAGAATCCTTCAATTTAATGATAACTTTTAATTGTTCTTTCAGAATCGTTAAATTCAGCTTAGACTGTATTTTATAATAAACTTTACATTTACAATGCACTATTAATAGCATTTCTACATTACAAACAAAACATTCCAATATAATCACAGGATTAATAGATATTATTTTCATTCAGTACTCAATTTTCTTTGCACTGTAAACAGAAATGTTCATATTTTTGAATGAAAAATACTATTAAAAGAAGCATTACTTAGTTACTTTACACAAAAAATGAACTATTTATACTTTCATGATTTTGTATATGCTACATTATTTACAATATTGTATAACAGAATAATGCAACAATTACATTAAGTTTTTATACATGCAATTAGTTGCTATTCAATAGCAAATTACATTACATTTTCAATTAATTACACATATTCCACAATTTGAAAAGAGCTTGATTAGTTGAGGAAATACCCTGTTTAAAAGTCTGATAACTTATTATAAGCTCTTAAAATATAGTCACTTTTATAGAGTTTCCATTAAGGGCCTCAGCTGAAATTTTTTCCCCCAGAAAGACCACTTCAGACAGTACTCATTATGATGTCAGAACACACAACAGTTTCTGCTTGGATTGAGTGGGCGCTACTTGAAGTATTAATGATAATGATTGTTAAAGTAGTACACATTTCCTATTTTATGCGATCACAAAGTACAAAGTTTCTTACTTATTGATGGATTGAATCCTTGCTTCTCAGAATAGTTATTTTCAACATTTTCAATAATATAGCTATCTCAAGCTGTTACCTATTGGCAATCATATCCATACAGGATTTTGATGGAATATATCCATAATTATTGCTGATTTCAGCAGTCATTTCTAAGACACAACCAACAAAATCACAGCAATTTGTTGAACATGAAAGGTTACACTTACATAAACAATAAAGATCTTACAATAATCTCAAGCTTCATGAATTTGATCAATAAGGATCTTACAATAATCTCAAGCTTCATGAATTTGATCACAACAGAAATTTATTATATGTAGATTGTTCTAAGCATTAGATTTTTTATTTTTCATAAACAATTCAGAAATGTATACCAATTAAAATAATCACTACTAGTAAGTAACACAAGCTTCTGAGAATTTTAATTTTATGAGAATTTAGCATTATTAATTAAAATGATTAAACACATATGCTGCAAATAAAAAAATAAAAATATTAAAAGTGCAAAAAATGTAAAAAAAAAAAATAATAATAACCAAAAGCCTTATATATAAAATAAGTAAAAAAGTTATATAAATAAATATGACAACATTATAGCACCAAAGAAATTAAGATCTTTCTAAGATATGATATATTTCATTATAGAAGATCCAAATTAAAAGTAATACTGGAGTATAACACATATAGCGCACATTCCTTGCTACTGATCACTGGCATAAATTGTTGAAGGCACTCCGAGATAGTATACAGTTCATGCCTGTAATGAATACATTACTGTAAGTAATATCCATAATACTTTTAATAGTGGCAACATATTAGAATAGTGAAAATTTATGGATCTTCAAATAGTTCAACATTAAGTTTCAAACAATCGAACATAATACAAAAATTCAAAGCATTTTAAAAATATATTTTTATTCAGTAAAACAAAAAACACTGTTAGAACATGAAGGCTTCAAATTACAATCTAACTCCTCAAAGCAAAGTTTGCCATTAAAAATTAAAAAAATGTAAAGCATTGCAAAAAAAGTGCCACTTATATAATATAAGGCATTCAAACATCTTTTTAATTACAACAAAGCTACAATAATCCTTAATTCAATATATTTTAAATAAATATATTTTATTTTATATCAATTAAATACATTATTAGAAAAGCTGAAAAAAATTTAAATTATTAAGGACTGCATTTACAGGATTATACACGGACTGCAATAAGATTGTTTAATTTATTAATAAATAATAGATTAAATTTGAAAACATTTTAGTTTGCTTAAATTTGGCCTTGTGCTTTGTCAAACATACTGAAAACCTCTTATGTGTGAAGGCACATGCAAGATATATTACAGGTCTTTGTTCCATGAAGTGGGAACACTTGACACCTGAGATTTCCCACCCACTCGTCATCAATTTTGCCAAGACAAGATTTTTTATCTCAAGAGAAAATATATTCAGTTTATTCAAAGTATGTGTGGAGGGGACAAATATTCAATGGCAGGGTAAAAATACTAAATATTTTATAATTTTTTATAAAGAAATAATTCTTGAAATTTCAGTATATAAACTACAATATACACTTCTCGATACTGAAAATGCAATGCCAAGAAGGAGTGGTCAGAAAGTGATGAAATTTGGAAAAGAGAGACAGCAAGCAGCAATAAGTGATCTTTATTTTAAAATGATAGAATACAGAGCGAGAACGGCGTCGGCTCAGTAGGAAGTAGGACCACCGCGGACAGCGATGCACGAAGAAACACGTCTAGGCATAGAGTCAATATGAGTGCAGATGGTGTCCTGAGGGATGGCTCTTCATTCCCTTTCAACCATTTGCCACAGTTCGTCTTCTGAATGAGGCAAAGACAGAGTCTGCCAAAGGCGTCCAGTCACATCCCACACATGTTCGATTGGCGACAGCTTGGGGTAGTACGATGGCCAGGGAAGCATCTGTATACCTTGCAGAGCATGTTGGCAGATGCGAGCACTGTGTTGTCAGGCGTTATCTTGCTGAAAAATTGCATTAGGCAGCCCCTGATGGTAGGGTATTGCCACCAGCCGCAGTATATTATCCAAGTATCGTTGGGGCGTCATAGTGCCCTGAATACGAACTAGAGGTGACCTGGAATTGTAGGCAAACCATTATGCCACGTTGTCATGTGGTGGGGCGTTCCACAGTTACTGCCAGATTAGATCTGTCTCCATGTCGACGCCACACACGTATACGGTGACTGTCACTGGATAAACAGAAGCGTGACTCATCTGAGAACACAACGTTTCACCATTCTGTCATCCACATCTCTCCAGTACGGTACCATTCTAAACGTCGGTGTTTATGTGGGGTCAATGGCAGTCTAGTTAATGGAAGTTGTGAGTGCAGGCCACATTCAACCAATCAACGGGAAATGGTTCTGGTTGACACCGGAACATCCAGTGTATCTTGCACATGCTGCAGAATTGCGGTACAAATGACGTGCGGGACCGCCATAGCTTGTCGGCGGATGCGTCGATCCACGCATGCTGACGTCATTCTGGTTGCATCTGCATCCCTCCTTCTTCCCACATTTCCTTGTTCCAATCATGTTTGCCCTAACCGATGCACCGTGCTCGCATCCATGTGGGTATCAGCTGCAATTTGACATAAAGACCAACCCGCCCTCAGTCCGATCACCATACCCCTCATAAAATCGTCTATCTGCTGGAAGTGCCTTCATTGATGGCGGGCCTGGCATTCTCTCCTATTACATATATCCTCTGGGACAAAAACCAACTTTCTTCGATAATTCGTCTGGCAGAAATAACAACACGAATATCCATTCTGCACGTTCCTTCCCTTATATCTTACTTCACGTGCGTCGGAGAGCGGCACATTTCACATCATTCGCATAACTCAGTGACGTGCGTCTACTCTAAAATTTGCATAAATTTCTGATCACTCCTTCTTGGTGTTGCATTTTCAATGTCGAGCAGTGTAAGTTTAAACATTCTACAGGCAAGGTTAAAAACAAATTCTTGTTATATACATATATTTTATACTTACATATTTTTATTATATGGCATCTGCAACATTTCTGTTATGCTTTCTGCTAGTTTTAACACCAATTGCTTCAACATGGAAGCCTATCTTTTGCAGATTCTCAATTGGAAGCATCTTTCGCCCATCAAACAGAAAAGCAGGTTTATACATACAGTCATATATCCTTTTGTAATCAAATTCCTAAAAAATAAAACATAATTAGTCTACCGTACAAGTTTTATGCATTAACAATATCAACACATTTTTAATGAACCTATTAAATGTTACATCTTTTTAAATTACAAAACAATGCATTTGAAAAAAGGAAAATAAAAATTAAGCCAGACATGTGGATGGCTTAAATCATGTAAAACATTAAGAACATACTATTTCATTTACATAATCTAGCATAAAAAATTTTATGAAATTACAAACTAAATAAATAAAATTTCATTAAAGTATAAAGTAACAGTATGTCAGTAGGCCAAACTAAAAAATGAATGAACATTTTTTCATTCCTAAAAATAATTTTTATGCAGTAAAATTATACACAAAAGAAACTAAAATAAATTAAAAAATACAATCTAATATATGAAAGCGCATTTCATAATTTTAAATGTTTAGTAGATAAATAATAGTTTAATCCATATCACACAACTGCTAACAAAGTAACAGATTTTGCTTTCTAGAAGAAAAAATAAATAATGTTCCTCCTAATAATTGCAATTTAAGCCTGTTTTTATTAATAAAAGTTTTTTCAGTTTATTCATTCATAATGGATCTAAACACAATCACACTTATTTTTAACAGTGGAAATTGCACACACATCTTTATTTATTTTAGGTATTTTAGATCGTTCATGACAACGTTTTATCTACCTCTATTTACTTCTTCTTTAAAAAACAAAATGTAAAAAATGGGATGAATTGGTCAAAAAACCTATATAAATATTTTTATAAAGATAACCATTGTGTACATATGTAGATCAGTCAGAAAGTTAGTTGCACCCCTTTGTAAAAATTTCTGTCAACTGCTTTTTTGATGAAACTGTCTAGCATCACTTCAGACATTTAGCTCTAGCATGCGATGTAGTGGCTTTCATGAGGCAATTTTAGTTTGTCTGATAATTAGTTGTAAGCATGTCTGGGCAGCTGCAAGTGGCATCCAAATTAGAAATACGTGCAGTGATTAGTTTTTTTTGTAGGCGAAAAGATGTAACTGCCGAGAAATTTATCAGTAGTTGCATGAAATTTATGGTGACAATGCAATTTCACATCAAGAGGTACGACATATTAAAGAACTGCACGTTCAGATACTGACAATGCTGAGTGCGAGGGAAGACCATCACCAGCCACAAATTCTGAAATTACTGCTCACGTGAATGAATGCCTTCTTGCAAACAGATGCATAACAATAGCCGAAATCTCTAATGAACTGGATATTTCTCATGGAAGTGTGCATAAAATTACTGCCTATCAGCTTCAATTTCATAAAGTTGGGGTGCCTTATCTACTGATGCAGGAACATAAAGGGAAGCATTTCGAAAGTGCATTGAAATTTCTGCAATGTTACCAAAAGGAAGGAAATGATTTTTTGGACAAAATTGTGATCGGAGATGAGTCTTGGATTCACCACTTCTCACCTAAAATGAAACACTGCTCCCTTGAGTTGAAACATTCCGCTACCCACACTAAAAAAAAAAGTGTCAAATTATAAAATTAAAAATATGAAATCGTGATTTATGAAATAACGAAGTATTTAGAATCTAAAAAAATATAAAAATTCACAAAAAAAAAAAAAAAAAAACTTAATATTTATTTGTTTACCCTATTAAACTTTCTTTCAATGTAAGTTAATTTGCTCAGTTTTTTGTGCTAATACTCTTTCTCTTTAATTCTGTAAACAGACATAATCTCTTGTTCAGTTACATTGTTGAAATCCTGTAACTGCTGTTTCGAGAATTCCGACTAACTTGTCAATCGAAATTTTCTCGTTTTCAATAACTTCTTTGGCACTTTCTTCGCTATCGGTAGCAGTATTTTCTGGATCTAGAACCATACTACAGATTTGGCCATTGATTAATTGATTAATGATTGAGAAGCATTGTCATCACAATGAAAAACTTCTTTTATATCGTCTTCATTTATTACCGCTTCTCCACATTTCTTTACAAAATCCATTAATTGGAAAATTTCACCTTTGTTTTGCGATATCAGAAAACCTTTAAAATTAGTGGCTATCTTCATCAAATTTAGCTATCCTTCACTATACATATTTGGCTATGCATCATGAGCTTGGCAACTAACGACAAGTTGTTCCGTTAAATTTTATCTTGCTTCTCTCGTGCACTGAGACAATTAAACCTGAATTGTATTAGTTTAGTTATTTATTATACTTATGTCTATTTCTTGCACATGCTTATCAGGGTTCTGAATAAATAAATTATCACATATACTTAAGCCTTATTGAGGGCTGGTATTAGATATCTTACCACATGATGCAGTCTCTGTGGGTCCTAAATTCTGCGACTCGGTACAGCCATACGAAACCTGGCACTGGTTCTGGGGTTATGCGAATAACAAATCAGTTATTCTTAATTCAAATAGCCCTAAATGTAATCTACTTTTAGCATATGGAAAGAAATTTTTGGTAAATTTTTCCTCGTCAACGTTTTCTAGAGCATTTAACTAAAAAGAGATCTGTAATCATTGCCAAGCATTATGTCAACATAAAAAGTTACCATACTCCTTTATTATTCAATTACTAACATAAAAAAATTTTTTAGGAATCGCTACATGAGTTACTCAAGTTGTTATGCTTTGATAAACGTGGTGATGAAAGGAAAGTATAATAAATAATGATTTGCCAGGTTGGCATCAGATCAACGATGTATCTATGTGGAATGTTCTGGTTTGAGATGTGTGCCAAGCAGATACACAACGTATGATTAATGATTGTACAAATTCATGCTAAAATGATTGTTTCTTCAATAACAGGGTATTTTATTTAGTGTCGAAATGAAATTAAGAATCGGGACTCTCCAGATGTTTTATTATGCGCAGAGGAGAGGGGGGATCAAATGCACATGTGCAAGCCTACCAGGAAAACATTTTTGGTGGTTTTAAGGTCTGGATTTTAGATTATTCCGGATAATGGACATTCGGTTTCGGACTTTGCACTGTACTCAAGTAAAACGGCAGAAAACAGGCATTCTGCATTAATAACTTTCTGATCTATGGTTTCCAAAAGAAAATTTGTGTTTTCTCAATATAATTTATGACATGCTTCTATTTTTATGTACACATTTGTTTTAGTGCATTAGCGCTTTTCCAAAGAAAATCGAAAAGCTGCAATAACAAACGACACTCATCACAAACGTATTGCATTTTCTTGATGGAATAATGCAAGGAAAATCAATCTATATATATTTTTTGAGAAACACAAATATTTTACTTTTTCACAAACTAAGATAAAGATAAAAAAATCTTTAAGCAATTTCAACAAATGCATAAAATTCACATCTCTTAACAACTCCAGAAAATGTTCAGATTGTTTTGATCTTACTCAATGGCTGATGTGTGCCAAATGATCTGCAGCTATGTTTATTGCCCTTTGGAGAACTGGATCATGACATTTTCAGACACATCTACTTCCACAAGCATAACAACAGATACTGATGAAACTTATTAATACAGAATTCAAACAACAAAAACCAGCGTTATATTTGCAAATTTTCACAGGACTAGTTTCGATGGTTTTACCAAACCATCATCCTCAGCTGCCAACTAATTTAATACTTCTTTGGCGTGTTATTTTATCTTAATTGATGAAACCTTTTTTTTTTTTTAAAAATGAGCCATTAAAAAAAAAAGCAAATGATTTCAAATGCCTTTTTGGATGAAAATAACTAAATATTAAGTGAAACTAATAATAATTCCTAGAAATTTAAAGAATAAGAAAAAGCCAGGAGAAATATATTATAGATTAGGTTGACAGAAACAGGTTTGAAAATTGGGAGTCTCTTGTCCAAATCAAGAGAGTTGGCAAATCTGTAATCACCCCTAAATTAAAGTGACTACTATTCACACAATTAGTAACCTTGGTGAGCAAAGAGAAACATATTGTAACAAAGTGGATAAAATCAAAACTAAGCATGAATTAAAAAAAAAAATTACAGTCAAAAGTCGTTAATTCGGACACCCATAATCCGGACCTCAAAGCTACAAACTTTCTGTGCATGCGTCAACAGCTGCGAATATGCGTGTGCGCATGCGCATAATACGTTTACGCATGCGCGTTTAATGTATAATGGATGGTATAACCTAAGCTAAAATTATCTATTCAGTTAATGTTGCAGATTGCGTTGTTCCTTAATCTTCGAATTGGATCCGGCTTATTATTTTTTGCAGACTGTTAGAGCAATTTTATAAAAGTAAGCTCGAACTTTCGATTATGTCAAATAGAATTTCCGATATATATTTACTAATATGTAAAGGATCTACAAAGCGAAAGTATGTTTCGAAGTCCATCAAAACAAAAGTGGAATTGCTGCAAAAAATAGATAAAGGCATATCCATCGTTTCTCTAACCATTCCGAAATCTGTTTATCAATTTCACGCTGCTCTGTGGCCGGGGGGGGGAGTGAAACGCCGCGGAACGCAATGATTTGGAAGTTGATCTGTCAGCACTATCCTTATCTTCAGGGCAGATGTTTTTATTTTATTTGACTTTTAATTCCTTACTAAATGTAGTATTTCATCTCGATGTATTCCATCTTTGATATGATTTAAATCAAATTCCTCGTCATTATAATTTCTTTCCGATAGTGAAGAAAGTGACACAGAGGTTATTGAAAACGAAAAAATTTTGATTGACAAATTAGTCGGTATTCTTGACACGACAATTATAGGACTTGAACAGCAGAACTTTGTAACTGAAGAAGAAATTATTATGTCTGTTTATAAAGAGAAAGTATTATCACATAAAACGAAGCAACTTAAACAACTTACATTGAAAGAAATGTTTAATAAAGTTAACAAATAAATATTAGTATTTTTTTTTTTTTTTTAAATTTTGATACCCTTTAGATCATAATTGTTCTTTATTCCATAAATTACGGTTTCATATTTTAAATTTTATAATTTCTGCATGCCATCTTACCAGATTTAAACTGATGATCTACAATCCGGAATCGCCGAAGTCCCGATGTGACCGGATTAACGATATTTGACTGTATAATATACACAGCAAGCAAAAATCATGTGCCACAGAAATATATAAAATTAGTATTCAGATAGTATTATGCAAAGTATAATAAGGACGGCATTACATTCTTCAAAATGTTAATTTAACTTATTTGTAATTTTTTTTTTTTTAGATCTACATACATTTAGTTACTTCTTGAGATGCATTATCTAAGAAATTAGATATTTTACTTCTTCTGTTCAGAATTTTTTGACTTGGAACATAATTTCTCAACATCCAAAAAAGGGTTGTCATACAGATCAAGGAGATATTAGCAAGCAAGTGGATAATTGTTCAGAGAAAATCCTGAGTAGAGAAGGAAAGCTTTTATATATCGAATTATTTTAAATATGATGAAAATAAAATTAATAATTAACAAACTATTTTGTGGATAAACTTATCAATGCACTATATACTGAAGCATAATTGATATACTGAAGCATAATTGTTTGAATCTTCATAGAAAGTTCTACAAATGTCAACAGTAGATTAAGGCAATTCAGATCAAATATAATTTAATAAGAAAAATTATACTGAAAACTACTCAAGGGAGGAAATGTAATTTGGCCAGTTTGTTTTAATAATTCAAAAAAGTTAATTACCACTTGGAAACATTTTCCTTCGTAAAGGCTAAAAGAAAATCTACTGAGAGATGTGATAAAAAATCTTCCAGTAAAACTGGAAGCGTTGACAGCTATGAATTACTGTTGCTAAAAAAGTTTACTTTCATATTTATATAAATGAAAAATTATTGTCATTATATTGAATTTTTAAATTTATCTATTTTTGTTTACATACAAAAGTAAGTATGGATTTACATTTATTCTGCCATTTCATTTTTATATATCATGTACATATTTCATTATTATTCTGAGGTTGCAGCAACCATTATTAGTACCCTCCTCTTCTTTAGCATCGTCTCTCCTACCCTCAAGCGTCTTAATGGTATGCTTCTCGGCCAAGGGGATACGAGATAGGTGTTTGTAGAATTCTACTGTATATTACCAGAATTAAACAACCCTGAAGGGTGAGAATGAAGAAAAACTCCCCCCGCCCTCCCAAAAACATGGCAAATCAAAAAAAGTTGAGAAACTATAACTTAGAATATGAGTTCATATTCATGTAAAAACCAGTGTTATTTTATAAGACTACAGACAGCATTTCACTTAACATAAAATCAACTTACTAAATTAAAATATGCTTAATCACTTTATTTTCAAATTATTTAACGATTAAACTAGTATGTTCATTTTTAAAACTGCATATTTCATAAATACAAAAAAGAATAAAATTTGTTTATTTTTACCAAAAATTCATCCCATTCTGTACAAATAACAACAGCATGAGTATTGCGAGCAGCCTCATAAGGATTAGAAAATACTTCTACTTGCTCCACTGTTAAATAAAATAAATATAACAAACTGAAAGTTTATATATTTACTGGAAAGAAACAAAAGAGAATCACGCATTTGTCATAGCAATTGTACGACTTGAACTCTTGGCAATTTTTTTAGACTTTAAACAATATTTACAGCTTTACTTATACATTTTTAAAGTACTATACTATATAAAAATGTATTCATTTTTCAAGGATTTATTTAACAATGAATAATGCTCAACAGCAAGTTTCATACTAAAATTCAATTTATAATTTCTCTGATTTATAAAATTCAGTTTGCAAGACCGAAATGATTTGCCAGACCTAACATAATAAATGGTAATTAACTGAATAATTTTATGCATTTACTAAATAAAAAATACAATAAATAAGAACATTATAAAAATTCAATTTATTTTACTCATAAATGTGAAGAAAAATGAAATACAGTACTAAGTCTTTAATCCGGACGTCCATAATCCGGAATGATCTATAATCCAAACCTCAAAGCTACAAACTTTCTGCGCATGCATAAATGCATTTAATGCGTATTACGCAGCAGTGCACAATGAACTAGGCTAAAATTGATCAGTCAGCATTATCCTTATCTTCAGTTAATGTTGCAGATTGCGTTGGTTCCTTAATCTTCTAATTCGATCCGGCTTATTATTTTTTTGCAGACTGTTAGAGCAATTTTATAAAAAGTAAACTTGAACTTTCGATTATGTCAAAAAGAGTTTCTGATTCTGGAGCTGCCAAAGGATCTACAAAGCGAAAGCATGTTTCGATGTGGAATTGCTGCAAAAAATGGATAAAGGCATACCTTCTCAAAATTATGCGAGGATTATGGCATTGGATGACACAAGAAAAAAGAAAAATAACTTTTTGAATTCTTTGTGGAAGCATTTTATACAACTTACAATGAAAGAAATGTTTAATAAAGTAAACAAATAAATATTAAGCTTTTTTTTTGTAAATTTTGATACCCTTTAGATCATAATTGCTCTTTATTTCATAAATGGTAGTTTCATATTTTTAATTGTATAATTTCTGCATGCCATCATACCAGATTTAAATTAATGATCTATAATCCGGAATCGCTGAAGTCCCGACGAGTCCGGATTACGGATTACGGACTTTGTACTGTATTATTATTCCCCAGATTTTTTAGAAGAAATTCAGATGTTGTCTGACCTTTTATAAAATATTTAATATTTCACTGAATTTCCCTGATCATTTTTCCCATTTCCGATTTTCCATAATTTTTCAGGTATGACCTCTGAATAGTCAAATAGTAAATAGCTTTCTTAAAGTATTCATTTTATACTTTTAATCAGCTACATAATGAAAAAAGCAATTTTTAGAGATTTTTCTGAAATTAACATAACTAACATGATGATAAGCAGCCAGTCTGCCATTATGAAAACATGCATTCATTCAAATGCATATCCCACATAATTCTGCCAAAATTAAAGCATTTTTCTTCTTGTAATGTAATACAGGGAAATATGTAATATCTTCAGTTCACTACAGAGGTGCAAAAGCCCTCTTATATATGAGTATTTTCTCCAATAAATATATTAAGAACTGGTACTTTTTGGTGTATGAGAATCGATCATACTAAAAAGTTTACCTCATTTCACACTTTGGTGAGCTATTATAGCTCACCAAAGTGTGAAATGAGGAGTAAACTAATTATTTAATCACATGAGTAGCAACACTATTACAAATAAGTGAGAAGAATAAACATCGATCCAAAAGTTTTTCCTTTGACATGTTCAGGTGCTTATTTTTTTATTTATTTTTTTTTGCGCGGGGGGGGGGGGGGAAGGCAGTTCATGAAGAATTATGATTAAAATCTTCCAAGACAAATGAATTTTATATTTTTACTGAATTTTCCTATTTCTGATTTTCCAGAATTTGTATATCCATATTGAAAGACTTTGTTCAGAAAGTTACAAAATGAAATTTTACTTAGCTGCTACTGGAGCATATAAATGGCATTGTAACAAAGGATCATATTACAGAAATAAAGGATAATCTGGTTTGAAAGTTTGCATTTTTTTTTTTTTTTTTTTTTTTACAGCAATTTGGCTTACTTCTGCCATCAAATAGTTCAAATAAGATCTTTGTCAACTGCAACTAGGAACCAATTACTGTACAACTGTTAACTGTAATAACTGCATACATTATTTGCAAATTTCTGTATTTAAGATTCTTAGATCAGGATTGTTAAAATTATGGCAAAATACTCGAGCGAAGGCATTTGTGAAGGATTTTTGAAGGGAACTTAAAATTATTCATTAATGAATATAAGCATTATTAAAATGCATATATTCATGTTACACATGTGGAAAATCATGAAAACTCACAGTCAACTTATTCACTGAGATTTCAATTTAGTTCAAGAGGAATTATTCATGTATTGTTGTTTTATTGCACAGAAATTGGTGGGTTCTTTTTAATCTTATTTTGGATTTAATAAAATAACCATTCTTTTCATGAAGGCCTGCCATTCCTATTTCTATACAGAGTTTGTTCTAAGTGGTGCACTGCTGATTGAAACCAAAAATTTCTTTAAAATTTAAGAAACTGGGAAATTAGGGAAAAAAAAAAAAAGTTACATTTTAAGAGCATGAAGTGCATGTGCATATTAGTCTATTTCAGGGATGGCCAACTTCTGTATATATATAGGGTGCCCCATCAAGATCACCTAAACTCTGCACAGGCAGATTTCTTGCTTGAATATATAAAAAATGCCCAAGGAACTACACCTGTAGAACTCATGGTTTCTCAAGATAAATATGATAGTTCAGTATGACATTATATTTAATACCCCCCCCAACAAAACTTTTTTGTAAACATGAACATCAGTATTTGCATATGTTTACATAAGAAGCAATGTCTCCAACCAAACACACAAAATTTGGTGTGTAGTGCCATAAAGATAATGATAATGAATTACCTGTATGGAAACCAGTAGCTAAGGAAAATGCTTAGTTTCTGTGAACTTGTGTTCTTTCTGTGTGATACGAAAAAGCTGATTGATTACAATATGAGAAGTGCAGTACCTGCTATTTATTCAACCCACTGGTTAATAAACTCAGTTGCTCATTATGTTCAAATTTCCAAGAACCAAAATAAATATATACTAATCAATAGAAAAACTGTTGTTTATTAAACTCATCTCTGCTGCTTATAAAATTTAAATTTGCAAAAAACTGATTCTTCAGTTCCAAAATACCCTGTTTGTGGCCGATGAAAGCTGTTTGTAGTTCATTCATTCATCTTTTAGATACACAATGCTTCAGCTAAATGGGTTTAGAGGGAATTTCAGCCACCATAATTAGAAGCAAGACCTCCTCGGGATGTCGAGTGCTCTTTGCTACTCTCTGTTAGACAATGTTTACACGTCGCTTTGTCTGGATTTCAGCTGAGAGCGACAGAATACCTTATGATAAAAAAAAGCAGTTCTCTAGAGGTATTGGGAAGAAGTTCTTTAAATGTATATGGGTGAGTGTTTCCTAGGATTAAAGAAAAGGTGGTGCTTAATTGATTAATTTCTTTGGTTTACTACTCATAGTAACGATTACTAAAATGCAAGAGTGTACAAGTAGATGATTTTCCCTTTCTTGAGCACTAACTGATAGAGAATAGGAGTGCATACACACATTAAATTTCCAGGTGTTCTTAGAAACATCATGAAATGCTTCCTTGCATTTTCAATCTTTGATTGAAAAAAAGGGAGTGCTCTTTGCAGGCTGAAGGAAAAAAAAAATATTTTTTAAAATATAATACAGGGCTGTAATATTTAGTGGCAACAGTTTGAAAAGTTAATCGACATTTATCTTGACGTAATGCCAAATACCAAAATGAAATTAACAGACCTTCTGGGCTAACACCCTTTGGGATAATAAAATTGAATCTTGTGAAAATACAAGCACTTCAAAGGAGATAACTAAGTTGATATTTTGGTATAGGCTATGCATATTATAATCAACACATGGAAACCAGTCTCCAGTCACATAGAAATTGCTTTAGAAAATGTGTTTATTATTAAGAAGCCACAGAAGAATTACAAACTATTTTTAATATTTTGGACATCACTGAGAAAAATTTTGAAGACTCATTTTTAAAATTTCATTTTGATAATAACATTGTGACAGCATATGAAAACACTGACTATAATACTATAAAAAGTGTTAAAAGAGCTGCAGAAACTGAAACTGACAATCGAAGTGATATGGAAGAAAGTGACTACATATGCCAGCCTCAGCTGACTCAAGAAAAGCACTATGAACTCTCAAATTGAAATGTGGAGATCAGAAAAGCTACAGTTTTGTGAACTTGAAAATACAATTGAAAGGCTGTTGACAGACAATATGAAACAAATATAGATACAGCAGTTCTTTGTAAGAGTTTAAAAGTTCATCAGGTATGTAATAATAAAATTTACACACACACACACATATATATATATATATAAATAGAAAGTAAAATTCCAAATTTCACAGTTTAATTTTAGCTAACAATTTAGGTATTAATTATTTAATTACTACCTTATTTAATAAGTTCAAAGTTGATATTATAATTTGCAATATAGAAATTTCCATTTATTAAAATCAACCACTTAATAAACTCATTGGAATGGATGTGATTTTAATAACTGGTGTGTACTGTAGATATAATTGCCACATTTGGTGACACTGGGATACTTTCTCAATTAAAATACTTCCAAAAATCTTCCTCAAGTTCTCTGAGTTGTAAGATTAGATCAGTTTGAGCAGCTATAATTTTCTTTCCAAATGCATTTTTTTATTTTTCAACATTAAATGTATCAGAATATTTTTGCAGCAACATATTTTATATTTTAATCCTTTTTTTTTAAACAAAAACACAAATAATGCATATAAACTTTAACTTTTTCAAAGTCACGAAATCTGACCTCAGAATCTCCAGCATAATAACTGCAACATATTTTCCAATGTTATAATTACAATTTTGATATTTTTGTTCATTATTGTACATATCTGGAAAATGATTCAAACTGTTTTGTTGAGGATGTTCAAATAGAATAACAAATTTTGTTTTGTATGCATTAATGCTAATGATCATTTCAATTATTCTCTTGTTTTTTCCCTTGCAATTCTAAATTTAAATATCATAATTTCAATGTAAGGAATGCTAAATAACCGACCCAAGTTTCATCACTTAAACTGTACATTCTTGATCATGTTCTTCAAGAATTTTTTTTTTTTTTTTTACTAGAGTCAATAAATCATAAAACTATTGCAAAAATTTACTTAGCTACCATACATTGGTATGAAATAATAATTTTGGCTGACCTTCATCAAGTTCAGTTCGAAGAAATGTATCATTTGAGGGAACACCCTCAAATCTAATAAACAATATTGAATGCTTTGTCCATAAATTCTTTGGCATTTAATTTTTTGCTAACACTTGTTGGTGAACAATGTTACGGCAACTCAAAAAGCTTGGAAACCTGCGATAATTTTGGCATAGAGTAAAAAATCCATTTATGCAGCTTATCATTGCTCCTACTCCATCTGTTGTTATTGAAACTAATTATAAAAGTGGCAGTTTTAAATTAGTAAGTTTTCCAAATTAAAAGAGCTGAATATATTTAAAGCTCTAATTTTTTTTTCTTTTTTTCACAGAAATCATATAACAATACTTCATCAGATCTTTAACAATCATATGAATAAAAATTAAGAATTGCTCTATGTCACTTATACCTGTTGTTCCAACAAATTGAAGGCAAATACAAAAGCATGTATTAATGTTGTTACATAACTGTCCTCATATTTTCACTTATTTTCCCGATTTGTAACATCACAATATTTTGAGACATTCACAGATTATTAATTGCAGAAGTCATTTCATTGTTCTTAAAATAATGAAAAAGGTGAATCTGATAATTCCAAGAGAGTTTCTTTTAAAAATTATGCATCAGAAAATAATTTACCTTTTATTACTGTTATTTTTATTTTGGTTATAAATGGCTTGTTTTGAATGATGAAATAGTCTCTACATATGATTTCAGCAAAGGTTTTCTTACTTGAGCCTTACGATCCCCAATTTCAATTTTGAGTCATTATTTTATTGATAACCTGTTTGATATTTATTTTGTAAAAATTAAAAAATGCCTCTCCAGACCATACTTTCTAGTAATGGTTATGGAAGCATTACATACCAATATATATTATATATTATCAATATATTATCATATCAGTTCATATATTTCAATATTTATCAATCATTAAAAAAAAAAAAAAAAAAAAAAAAAAAAAAAAAAGATTCCGTTCTTCATGAAACTGGCAAGCTTTTAATTTCTTTGGTTTACTACTCATAGTAACGATTACTAAAATGCAAGAGTGTACAAGTAGATGATTTTAATTTAAAACCTAGAAAGAAGATACACTTTTTTGCACAAGAGTGGTATCACAATTTGACACACTTTTAGAAATGCTAATATATTATTACCGCTATGATGAATACTAAATATTAAACAACGAATACATGAATGCCAAATTTATGTATTGCTACATCAAAGATTAAAAGAGCATGCACTGAGAAGCCTATTAGATGAGGTACTGGACAATGAGTGGATGACAGGTTATGCAGAACGCATTCACTTGCTCTTGAAAGCCAATGTGGCAGGAAAATTGACAATACTGAAGGAACCATGACCTTTTGTTTCTATGAGTCATGACCAAGTTGCTTTTTCATGTTAAAAATGTCTTCTGTTGGCTGTGGTTCACTAGGAAACCCTTCGTGATTGACTTCTTGGCTATTTCCATTCTATTTTATAATTCCTTATTGCAAAACTAATACAAATCTTATTCAATTATCTTACAAATCATATTAAGTAATTTAATAATAATAATCTTTAAAAAATTCTGCAATTTAGTATAAACTTCCAACTGTCAGTTTTGGGAAAAGCACACCTAATGTAAATATCCATTTAAAACGCATTCTACGACACTGGTCATCAACTGACTGATTAATCAATTTAGTAATCAGATGTTGCAAGCAAAGCACGATCTCAATAGCATTCAATTATTTTTCATTGTATTCAGTATGTTATTATAAAGCTTAGATAATATAGTAATTCACATACAAAGCATCCCTAGTTATGCTGGAACTATTCCTATGAAATGAATAAAGAACATTACATTTGAAAAAAACATTAAATCGGTTGATACATATTTCAGATTTTTCAAACATTTTAACTTGTAACACAACATTTGATTTTTTATACCTACTTTTAGTAACATATGGCAGTCATTCTGCTGGAAGTTTAATAGAACAGACTTATTTTTATTTAATTAGATTACTAATGGGTTATCTAACTAAATATTAAAAACTGCCCATCATGAATTTAAAATCACTCTGATATGCTGTTTATTGTCCATGCTACAAATGTAACATCATGCTGCATGTTTTACATTGTCTTGGTTACTGATATAACTTTCAGCACATAGCTATTATATGGAAGAAAAGTTTAATGTATCATTCAGCATTTCCTTCTGCAATATGAGTACTACACTACTATAATTTCAAAGCCACATTTCTGGCATACCTCTTGCATTTATTAAAAAAATTATGATTGATTAGTACAACTACAACAAAGCATTTTAATGCTGTACCTCAACTATGTATTCATGCAGGATTTCCAAAATAACAGATCTGTAATAAATATAAGTAATTTAATTAAATGTGTACTTAAATTTTATCACAACCACTTTAATGAAATTGCCTAATTTCCAGAATGTTGTTAAAATCTAGCAACGAAGTGCATAATAATTCTTCAGTTTTTAACAAGCAGAGTCATTACATTTTATGTCCTTTTTGTTGTATTACAAGTTTCAGTAATTTATAAATAAATGATAATACTTTTTGTCAATTTTAAAATTTGTGTGTTCATGGGATTTGCCTGTAATGAAAGAAATTGTGGCAAAATCTCTACAAGAACACATATCTCGCCAAAAAAACTCTAAAGGGAACAATATTTTATACTATTCTTAAATAATAGCCTTGAAATTTCCATCAGAAAAAAAAAGAGAAATCTACATTGTCAGTAGATTTAATTTAAGGATATATTTTAAAGATAAATGCCAAAAATTATCACAAAGGATAAATCATAAAAAATTATCACAAAATTAATATGTAATAAATTATTTTGCCTAATTATAAGTCAACATTCCTTTTCTTCTGAAAAAATTGCCAAACTGCACCAAGATATTTGATTATGTTTATATCTAAGTATCATCAAATTATGTAAAGTAAAATATAAACAAACCTTTGTAAGAATCTTCTATGCCTTCAAAATATGATAAATCCCTGAAAATGAAAAAGTTTTCATGTATTATAATAAAATCATTAATTTTCATGTTTTTATTAATATAAATATTTCCTTTTTACAATAAAATCTTTAACAAAGAAATGAAATATTTCTGCACCAAAATATGCAGCAAAAAATTCAGTCCCTTATACCATAGTGCATGAAAAGACAGCAGGTCAGAACATTTACGTATGCATTTCATATGAAAGAACAGCAATCTGATAAAATATGTAGCTGAATGTCTTTCTTCTGTTTGAATGTTTCTTTAACATTATAATTTTGATCATAGATAATTACTTCATTTTAATCCATAGTAATTGCATCATGCAAGAACCTTAATATAACCACAACAACTAATCAAACAATCAAATGCACCACAGTCATCTAATACCTCCCAAAAGTGCCATTTTCTTGTTATTAAAAAGTTTCCAGAATTAATGAAAAATGGATTGCTGTATTTGTCCGACCTTTTTTACAATTCTTTTAACTCTCCTTTGAATGAATACAACTATCCTTTATATAATTCATGCTTTAGAGCCACTGTAAAAATAATTTTCTTTGAAACTGTTGCTGATGAATGTCAAACACAGTTCCAAAATATCAGCTTTTATGTTTCATTTTCTGTTTGAACAACAAAGCAAATTCACAAGAAGCCAAAAGTATAAGAAATTATCATTTCAATTATTTGCCAAAAATTGCTTGGGATTTTTAAGGATTTATGGGCAGAAGTGCATAAACACGTTTATGCAATAAGGCACGGTTTCAAATTTTTTTGCTAAAATCTTTTGACAAATTGCACTATTGATCCTAGCTTTGTTTGCAAATGTGTGGATTGTTAGGTCATAGCCTTCAAAGATGAGTTTTTGAATTTCTTAAGAAATTTTCTGCTGTTATGCTCATGGTTTAATTTCTCCAAATCCTCATCATTGTCATATCAATCTCAAACTGGTCATTGGAATGCCAATCACATGGCTCTGTAATACGAGTGCCATTTCAAATATCAGTATCAAAAGGTATATAAAGCATATAAAGAGTTATTGCCTAGTTCTAAAAAAATGTGATGTAAAAATGTTTTTTTCTTTGTTGTCAAAACAGCAGATGAAACAAAAATAGAATTTAAAATAATAAATATATATAAATATATTATATATTTATTTTTTGCTCCCACTGCCATATTAAGTGCAAGAATGATGCAAAAGCATTGCATATTTATAATCCTGAACTATTTTCGACTCTGCATTATTTATATATGATTTTAAGCAACACCCACAAATACATCTAAAACTAAAGTATAATGATCTGTAAAAGTTCTTTTAGTGCCTATGATCCTAAACTGTATTTATGACATATGAACAGAATACTTATGAAGGAAAACCATATTTATTAAACAATACAGAATTTTTTTTCCTTAACAGAAAATTTAACATAAAAGAAATCGCTGGGGTTTCCATTTATCTCCATGCATTGCTTAAAAACAAATTTTATTAAATTTTAATTAATAAAATAATCATTGAAAATTTGTGGATATTATTTTCAAATAACAATACTGTTGTGTGCATACGGGTTTGTAATAGATTGAATGCACAAGTCCGATAAAAGGTTAATAAAACTTGTTCTTATCACAAGAAATATAAAAGAATGCTGGATTTTGCCTCAGATATTCATACAATATCACACTGTAATCAGTAGCTATACTATATAAGCTACTAAAAATGTTAAAATATAACACAATGCAAAGAGAAAACTAATCCGATCTCACCACAAATTCGGGGGAAAAAAAAGCTAGCTAAACAACTACAGAGCTGAGATGTTTTTCTCAGGCTTTTTAAAGCTTTCAATAATTCGTGAGAGAGTTCTAGCAATTCCTTCATTTCTGGAAACCAACAGAGTAGAAGTACAGTTACAGCTAACACAGTAGACAACTACATTTATTCAATTTCAATACAAATAAAAGAGATACCCATTTATTCAATGTTAAATGCACGTGCTCTTATATTTTTACTTTTTCGGTATAGCGTTCTTTTAAAACTCATCTCTCACTGCACCATGTGGCGGAAATGAAACAATTTTGATTATAATTATACTAGCATTAGCTATCTAAATACAAAATTCGTAACACTGCACCCTTCCCAAAGGACTGGAGGTCCCGGGCAGTATAATCCCTGGACTGGAAGCCAAACTTACAACTAAGGCATCAATCCAATAATAAACATTACATTACAATAACAAATAATATAAACAATAACTGCAATAAGTAACTTGAAACAACTCAAATACTAAACACAAATCAAATCAAATACAAATTTAGAAACAAAAAGGGCCGTGGTCTTATACTATTTACAATTATATAAACTACATATTATGGCCATAGAAAGGAGCTAACCTGTCGTAATGAATGACTTTGGGTTTAGAATTCGATGACTTACGGATCCGATTTACAACCTTGTTCAGCCTGTTCAGGACTGTGTATGGACCATCCCAAGGTGACTGTAGTTTAGGACAGAGTCCTTTCTGTCGAGTCGGATTCAACAACCAAATCTTGTCTCCTTCATTGAATCGATCACTGGTATAGATTCCTTGTTGTGTCAAACTGGATAAACCCACATCAGAAGACGAGTGGGAGAAAACATCTTGGGTACTTTTCCGTTTTGCCGGCGCAGGCGATAAAGTCGCCAGTAATGGCACAATTGATGCCAAACAGAATATCCTCACTGGTAACCTTTTATGCCTCACTTTCAAAATAAGTCACAGCCATTTCTTGTCAGATTGATTGTTTCTTTCAATACTGGCAAACAATTACATAGAATTTTTATTAGATAGTTCAACTTTATGCCCTAAGGCCAATTGTGGAAATTAAGTCAATTAGGATGAATTCACCGCTCACCGAAGGCGGAAATATAGAAAGGTAAAGTCAAGGGTTAAATTCATCAATTCTAATGAGAATCACTAGCGAAGTAAAAGCCACTGCGGTTTGACAAATTTCTGAGTACGCTATTGTATGAATTGAAATAATTCTTGTATTTAAACTTGTATTCCAAATTATTTAACTTGAAATTAATGTACATAATTACTGAGAGAATTAGATTTCTGTAGTGTATTTTACATGAGATGAGATCACGTGATACGAAGCGGCGAATCAGGATGTTGAACCATGAACGCATAAATTCTTAAATTAACGTCTTTTTACAAATTTATTGTTTTTATTTATTGGCTTTTTACAAAATTTTAAACGATATTAAAATGTTTATGCCTTTAAAATAAAAAATTCTTAGAACTAACATTCGTTAACATTTTTTATTGTGTATATTGTATGTTGTCGCCAATAAAGTCTGCTTGGCGAGATTTGCGCCGGCAAAATGGAAAAGTACCACATCTTGAAAGACATGGTATGCAGCATTTATCTCTTCATTGCTTAATTGTGCATTCTGCAATAACTGTGATGTAATGCTCTCTGAAGACATGGATTTTGGAGTGTTACTGTCTCATTTTACGATGGACACTAGAGTATGTGCTGCAACCACTTCACCTTTCATAACAAGTCTCACTTTATCGCTGATGTTGGCAATTCTCACCTCTATAACCAGCTTTGATAAGTCGATGAGTGCTGAGGCAGCTAATACTCCATGCGTGGTGTTAAAGTTCTTGGGATATTTCAATATACCATACCAGAAATATTTGTTTTCGTCTGTACACCCAGGAAGTAAGAATTCTGTTCTTGCTGGTTTGTGACACTGTTTTGAGCTACGATTTAATGTACAGATTTAAATCCTTCCCTGTTAATTGCAAATAAGGTTATGTCGTCAGAGGCAGAATGCAATTCATTAAAGTCCAAGGTAAACAAGTATTTCCTTAGAAAGTCCAATCCAAGTATACAAGGATCTGTAATGTCTGCCAAATATGCTGTGTGGTGGTAAGAGGCCAGTTGTTGAGCCAAATCTTTTCAGATGATGGTAACATTGGCTCCCGTGTCGATCCTTATATTGCAGGGAAATCCATTATGTCCCATGATGAAAAGTCCATTACTGCAGAAATCTGAAGCACTTTAAACTGGGGCTTTTCATTATTTGGCCCCGATGCCCTGCAAGATGGGCAATAATTAGTTTCCCTCCTTTTTGATAGGCCAGGTCTTAACTTCCATTCCCTGGGATGTTCTGCAGTTCCAGCACTTAAGGTTAGGTTTCTTGTCACTCTTATTCCATCTGAAGGCATTGACTTGTCTTGTTGAATCATCTAGGCGAGCAGCCATTTGATCCACTGATTCTTGGACTTTCACAGCTCTGACTAAGTGTCTGTCTCTATGGGAATCACATCCATTCGCATATGCCATTATAGAAAATTGTGTCTTATATACTTGCCAGGAGATTTCCCATCATACATGGATAGCTTCAGAGAGGAACGAGCAGGCATGGGTAAAAACTGAAAACCATCAGTACTGCTCCCTGCATTGTTACGAATTTCTTTAAGGTATCAACTTCTTTGGTGACCGCAGAAACCCTATCATCCATTTGTTGTTCCATGACAGAAACTCTCTCTTCTATTTGTTCCTTGACAGAAGAAACTTTCCCTTTAATTTATACAACTTTATTTTCAACCCCGTCTGTTCTGTTCTCCATAGCCTCAAATTTGTTTTCTATTATGCAGGTAATTTCTCTTTTAATTTCTTCTTGAACTCCATCAATCCTCTCTTGACCAGCTACCATTTTTTCTTGAATAGCTTCTGTCTACTCTTGAATCACTTCATCTCTTCTTTAAGGGATTCTTTGATCTCTTCTTTAAATGCAGCAAAGGCTGCCATCAGTTGTCTTAACGGCTTCTCCATCGCTCGTGTTACTGGCATTCAACTGCACTCCTGACACCAAAAAGTGTAGAGTACATACAGGTTCATAATAGATTGAATGCACAAGGTCTGATAAAAGGTTAATAAAATTTATTCTTATCACAAGAAATATAACATAATGCTGGATTTTTTCTCAGAGATATTCGCACAATATCACACCATATAATCAGTAGCTATACTATAAACTACTAAAAACTTAAAAATACAACACAATGCAAAAAGAAAGCTAATTCGATCTCTTGCTGAATTCTAAACAATAGCAACAGCAGCTAACTAAACAACTGAACTGAGATGTTTCTCTCTGGCTTTTTAAAGCTTTCATATGGTCGTAAGAGAGTTCTAGTAATTTCTTTGCTCCTCAAGATTTCTAGAAACCAACAGAGTAGAATTATGATTACAGCTAACAGAGTAGTCAGTTATATTTATTTTCAATACAAATAAAAGATATATCCATTTATTCAATGTTAAATGCACATACTCTTATATTTTTACTTTTTCAGCATAGCTTTCTCTTAAAACTCGTCTCGCGCTGCACTGCACAGGTAAATAAAACAATTTTAATTATAATTCTACTAACATTAGCTATCTAAATACAAAATTCATCACAATATATTTTGACAACTAAAAGATAAAACTAGAAGGGAAACAATTCCAATGTAAAATTTTAAACTAAGCAAAATGACAATTTCAATGTGAAAGAGATTTTTTTTTTTTTTTTTTTGTAAAAAAAGTATTAGTTTTGAGGGCAATCAGACACAGGTACCTCTTCTTCAGAAACAAAAGCTTTCCCCCCTTTTTTTTTTTAAAAAAAAGAAGGGATATAAATCTGATTGCCCTTGAAACTGATATCTTTATTCAAAATTTAAAGCTTGCTTTTTTGCATAATTTTAGTTAAATAATATAAAGTACAAACCCTATTTCTAGCTATGATCTGTAAATTTCACTTTATGTAAGTGACTGGAAGATTCATGAATTAGAGACAAAATTTCTTTTACTTTTAAAGAAAAACTGAACTTCAAGTTAAATTTAATTAATGTTAATATATATATATAGAAAGACACTTTTAAGTAAAGGAAGAAAAAATGAAATGTTACAGTAACACTTATGGTTTACTGATAAGAGATTCACTAAAACTTACGATATAATCTGTTGCTCTGGTACTTTGGGATCATATATATTTAAATTAGCACCCTCCTCCAAGAGATGCCGACAAATGTAAATTGCTGGAGATTCCCTGAAATAACCATTACATAATACTATAAAACAAAGTTCAGTCTACGACAGTAACAAATACTAAAGCAAAATGCATTAACAGTGAATACCTCGTGTCACCAGTATTCTTTTTGAAAGCAAAGCCAAATATAGCAATACTTTTATCTGAAACAGTGTTGAAGAGATTTTCAATGATTCGACGGGCAAATCTGGTCCTTTGAAAATTATTCATTTCAATTACCTATGTGAACAGGATGATATTATTTTTTCCAGTTAGGCAAAATAAATCAATATTTTTGATAGAATACAAATGCATTCAGAGAGTTCTATATAGAAGTCTAGATCTTATTTTCAATATTTCATAATGTAATATGAATTTATTAAATTACAGATAGGTAAAATTATGAAATTATTGATGGCTAAATTGTAATTAATCTGAATTTTCCAAAAATTAGTTTATCAAAAAGTATACTAATATTTAGTTTTCTAAAACTTAAGATTCTCAAATAAAGCCAGAAAAAATTCATTATATGTAAGGAGTGGAACAGTACTTGCATATTACCGCAATCACCTTAGCACAATTAGACGAATTTTATGGATGAAAAGAACAATTACTTTTTACTGTAAAATGTTTTACATAACATAAATATTTTACATTTCAACTATAGATTTATTTAAAGAAACATTCAGTAAATCTAGTTGCAAATGGGTGCTTATTTTTGTTGAGGCAGAAATTTCAGTGATTGCTTTAAAAAATTTGAAGCAATTTTGTATTCTTGCAATTTTTTCTTCTGTAAGAAACTCCAAGCAAATATTTTAAAAAATCGAGTTTAAGTAGTGGAAAAAAACATCACAATTTATTCATAAAAACCACTGGAATTCGGAATACAACAAAAAGAACACAAAGTATGAAGATTGAATATTTGTTATGCACATTACCAGAGCTCGGCATTTTTTTAAACTTTAGCAATTTCTACCAAGATGGTTGTGATAATATGTAAGTAAAAAAACAAACTATATGAAAAATCAACAAACTAATGCTGATTCTATATCTGATAATGATTTTTAATACTCTTGAGGAAAAGTAAACAAAAAATATAATTTTTTTTTATTTAATGCCTGTTGTATTTAATATATAATATTTTTTATTTAATGCCTATGTATTTAATTCCATAAAGTATAAAAGACAGTCATTCATGACCATACTGATTATTATGCATTTAAAAACCAATAAAGTTCAACAAAGAAATTCATGATCAAATTAATAGTGAAAGGCTCTATGCATTATTAATTGAAAGGCTGTACACTAACAAACAACTCTCCCTTTACGATTTCAACAGATTTGTTCTTCACTTGGACTTCATATACAGTCAAAAGTCGTTAATCCGGACTCGTCGGGACTTCGGCGATTCCGGATTATAGATCATCAGTTTAAATCTCGTAAGATGGCATGCAGAAATTCTAACATTAAAAATATGAAACCGTAATTTATGAAATAAAGAACAATTATGATCTAAAGGGTATCAAAATTTGCAAAAAAAAAAAGCTTAATATTTATTTGTTTACTTTATTAAACATTTCTTTCAATGTAAGTTGTTTAAGTTTTGCTTCGTTTCATGTGATAATACTTTCTCTTTAATTCTATTAAACAGACATAATTTCTTGTTCAGTTACAAAGTTCCGTTTTCAAGTCCTATAATTGCTGTGTCAAGAAACATACGACTAATTTGTCAATCGAAATTTTTTCGTTTTCAATAACCTCTGTCACTTTCTTCGCTATCGAAAGCGAATTATAATGACGAGGAACTTGTTTAAAAATATCAAAGACGGAGCATATCGAGATGAAATACTACATTTGGTACGGAATTATAAGCCAAATAAAATAAAACATCTGCGCTGAAGATAAGGATAGTGCTGACAAATCAACTTCCAATTCATTACGCCCCGCGCGGCCCCGCCGAGCAGCGTGAAATTGATAAACAGATTTCGGATTTCAAAACATACTTTCGCTTTAGATCCTTTACATATTAACAAATATATATCGGAAATTCCATTTGATATAATCGAAAGTTTTAAGCTTACTTTTATAAAAATTGCTCTTACAGTCTGCAAAAAATAATAAGCCGGATCCAATTCGAAAATTAAGGAACAACGCAATCATAAACATTAACTGAAATAGATAATTAGATAATTTTAGCTATACGTCCATTATACATAAAACGCGCACGCGAAAACGTATTCTGCACTTGCGCACATCATATGCGCAGTCGTAAAAGGTCTTACGCGCACGCATAAACGCCTATGCGAATGTGTCAACGCAGCGCATGCGCAGAAAGTTTTTAGTTTTGATGTCCGGATTATAGATCATTCCGAATTATGGGTGTCCGAATTAATGACTTTTGACTGTATAATCTTACAAAGAAAAATAAAATCTATACAAGTTGCATCTCAAACAATTTAAAATGTAGCATTTCAAATGACAAATCTGGATCACTTTGGCAATGAATATATTGTTTTAAATAAGTTAATAAAATTAGGATACATCATGACAAATCATAATGTAAGTAACAAAGCATGGAATTAATTTATTCTTAATCACTAAGTGAGATAAAGTTCAAAAGCCAAATACTAGTAGGAAAACTGATGCTTAAAAGTTTTTTTTTTTACTTTAAAATCCCCAATGAAATTACTTAATACAATTTTCTGGTATACTAATTTTTTTAAAAATCAGTGAGACTGTGAGATATTTCGCTCTGTCATGTGTTCATTTTTCATTGCGATTTGTTATAACAGCTTACTTTTAAATGTTGAAAACAGATTCTCTCTTATTTCCATTACATTGAAGAGTTTTGTTGTAGTATACATTGGAATTGGAGTTTCAGTTGTTCATGGGTGAGTATGGTGGCCAGTATGTAATTCTCCAATTTAATGTTTTTTCTTTCTTTTTTTTCAATGAAAACAAATCACTGCTTTCATGCACAAAACCACAGTGCAAAACAAATTACAGAAGAATATAAAAAAACATATACAATTTTTTTAATATATCAATTTTCATTTATTAATTAAAATTTGTATTTTAGATTGTTGAACTATGTTTCACAGGGTTCGTAGCCGCATTTTAGTTAAAAAAATAAGCACCTATAAGCAATTTTCAAGCACATTTTAAGAAAAAAAATAAGCACCTGTATAATTACATTATACACAACTGCATAACCTTAAAAGAAAAATTAGACTTGCAATTTAAAATATGAGCAATGCAATATTTATTACAGAATGAGCAATTACCTCAACCATGGAAAACAATTAACTTTTTTTTAAATAAATTTTAAATGACAGTTCAATTTACAGAATTTGTTTACAATGAGAGAAAAAAAAAAAACTATGCAGAACTAAATACTTACAAGATTTAATGATGAAATTTCAGTTCAAATATAGAAAATAAATAATAATAAGCTATATTATTGTATTCGCTTGGCACCTAATAATAAATACAATTTAATTTTCCACTCATATTTAATATTTAATATTTAACTTAAATCAAATTCGAACATTTTCTAATTTTCATTGCATAACAGTTTTCCCTTAACATGTATTCCAAACAAAGTAATTTAAGTAAAAAGAGGAACATTTCTGAAATCAGAAGGTGGGAAATTGCTTCATGCAGTCATCCTTTAACAGTAAAAGCTTAACTAACCCACATACTTGGAAATTGCTGAATACTGAAAATTCCGGATAGTCGAGTGTAACTGGAAAAAGACGAAGGCGGTAGATTGTAGCCGTTCTTTAGATTTTTCGGCTAAATAATACTTCTGACTTTCGATATGTGCATCATATAAAAATAGCCCAATAGAACTGAAAAATATTCTGCTTAGCAAGCACAGTAAAACTCTTTTAAGTGTTCATAAATAAATCTCAGCTGAACATCAAAATTAATTATATCTGAAAAAAACGCAAACTTATTGCGCAATCGTGCAACGTAATTCTTCCATACTATTACGCAATCGGAATAAACAGATGCCGGTATTCGAGAATAAATAACTAAATGAGGAAAAAAAGAGACTTACTAATCTGGGGTGTTTCTGATTCTAATTTTGAACAGACCGCGTTAAATTTTCGGAATAGAATCATTCTTCGCTTGGGTTGGGTAGACCGCAAAACTTTTAGTCCTATTCAATCCAGATTGGACAGTGACGAAAAAAAAGTCCACTGCTTCAACATAGAGATTTTCCGGAGAAAGGGGAGAACCTCCCAACCTCTGTACTGTATAATGTATTAACAAAACAAAACAAAAAACAAAAAAAATTATTTTGACTATTTGATTACTTTTCTTTTATTTAAGCCATTCCGAATATTATTCCTTAGAAAGCTAATCTGTGTAAAAATACACCCATTTTTGAAATCATCTAACCTCACAGCTACTGCAACTATATTATTATAAATTCATACATATGCTCATAATATAGCATAACGATCATAATAAACACGAACATGAACTGACCACGGGAACGAGATGCCATTATTAAATCTTGATAGAAATTCAAACGTATGTAGTATTTGGGTGGGAGGAAAAGAATAACGAAAGTACCGGAATTTTGTACGGTTTTTGAAATTTTTTGACCAATAGAGCGACGTGCACTTGTCTGTACTCTCGTGCGCACCATAGGTTACGTTAATGCAGAGAAAGGGGGAACAGCTATTTCCGGGAATATGATTCACTATCTGACGTTCCATATAAGGAAGAAAAGTTGTTTATTTAGTTTCAGCTTTGGTACGGGGGAAAAATGCGCGTTCATTAAAAAAAGCACTAAAAGCAAAAAATAAGCACTAAACAAAACAACAAAACAAAAAAAAAAAAAAAAAAAAAAAAAAAAAGGGTTTTAAAGAAAAAGTAAGCACATATAAGGGCCTTTATATTTTATTTTCAAATATAAGGACTTATAAGCACATGTAAGGACCGTTACGAACCCTGTTTCATTTTGATATGCTGATAATGTTTGCTGATTTACGACAAACACTGATAGATAGGCAATCTTTTTTTTATTTTTTTTTAAAGTCACCCAAATTGCCAACTTGCAACCAACAAGTAACTTTTATAATCTATTTCATTATGTAATTTATTTCATTTTCAATTAAGACTTTATGTTGCCTAAATATTTTGTAATTAAGTGACAGAACAACAAAAAGATCATGAAGTGGAGTCTCGCTAATACTAAACAATGAGAGGAAAGAATTGATTCAAATAAAACAGTTACCAGTATTCTCATTTAGCAAATTTTGAATCCATGAGCTTAAGCTTAAGAAATTTAATAGTGTCAATTTTGCTTTCAAACATTAATATTCATCAACATCATCTTTATGTGAAAAAAAAAATTAAATGTTGATATATTTCTTACAGTGAGTTAAATGTAATGAAAAGTTACACAAACCTGAAACCAGAAGGCAGCAACAACAGGTAAATTCAAACACTCTGATAAGTACACCATATTTAACACATCTTTTTGGAAACAGCTTCCACCAAACCCTGTTCAACAGAGATTTTTACATGAATACCAAACATATAATTTTCATGAAGATTTCTAAGAAATCTAAAAACATCAATTAATAGTTTCTCAAGACAAATAAAAACAAAGAAATAATTTGATTTATTAAGTTTTCTGGCCTACGTATTAATTTTCTTATTAAAAATTGGTGTGTTATAAAAGTATTAGAAATTATTTCATAAAAAACAGGGTTTGTACACATTTTCTGCACATGGAAATTAAGCACTTTTAAGGATTTTTAAAGACCATTAATGAAAAAAATTAAGGACCCATCAACAAATGGGAACTGAATAAATTCAATTAAAGATACTAGGTATGCTGAACTTCATTTTAGTGATACCATCCTAAGAATGAAATAGATCCGCAAGTAGAATGCATTATTATTAAACATAATTATAAAACAAATTCGAGAATCAAATCAATTTTGTAAAATTTATCAGGTAGCATTAAATATTTTACCCTCGTAATAGTTGGACATAGTCAAAAGAAGATTAGTGACATTTTATTTATGTTTTACTAACACTTAGCTTTGTATGTTGATTTTTTCTTTTATGTCTCATATACTTTCTCAGTTTAGAGGTTTAGTAAATAGCAGGTAGATTTTATGTCAAATGGCATAGGTTAAAATAAGAAGTAAAATCATAATCAGCATGATTCATTACAAAAGACTGGCTGTTGTCACCGCTGCTGCTTGCCTGGAGAGAGGCCTACTGATCAGAACAAACCTGAAAGCCTGATGTAGGCACAGTTGGCAAGTTTCAGTTGCACTATGCCTGTCTGTCGCAATTAGTGTCATAACTTTGTGTAGAGTTCCTGCAGTTGTAATCCAGTTAATATATTTTAAGGTTCCAATAAGCCAGTAAAGCACTAGAGGTGATAAGTTGTTTTGTATTATTAAGTCTCACTAGATGAAAAGAATTAAGTTTTACATTAATTTTTATATTTTTGTGCTGTATCTTGTGACTACAGTGTAAAGATTAATGTAAGTCAATACTTACTTTTAATATGCAGAAATAACTTTTAAGAGTGACCAGTTAATTACAAATTACTAAATTAGCTATTTAGATACCATTAGCAATTATAGATTTGCATGGCCACTATTAAATTTATTTTTTAAAATATTTGTCGAAAAAGTACTATGAAAATCACAATCTATTAGCATGTCACAATTTAAAATACATGTAATTTATAATATTGACTTGTAAATGATTAAGATAACTACACATTAAAAGCTACAAAACATTTATGTTTTGTAGCAACAATACTCAACAAAATATTTATGCATCTTTTTAATTTGAAGCCTTTCCAGACATTCTGGCTAATTTATGTCAATTTCCTTCTTTTTAAGCATCTTTTATAAGAATTAGAAATTTGTTTCAATATGCAAACCAATATTCTCGCTAGTTTCTGCGTGTTTTATCGCCTAACTTGTCAATCTCTTGACTATATACCGATGAGGTTTTACTTGATCTGGTAAAAGTTGAATACTTCCAAAACCCCTAACAGACAGGAAGCAAATTATCGCCATGTCTGAAAGTCAGATAAAGGTTTAAATAAGCTTCTTATATAAAAAGACCTTAGAACATAAAGACATGCTCTTATGCTAGCAAAATTAACTACAGTTTATGGTGATTTTATTAAACAGGAACAGTCATATTCAAACTAAAAATGTGGACTAGTAATCAAAGACTACACAATTTAATTTTAATGTAAGCTGGCTCAGTAACTCGTAACATAGTTATCGCATAGCAAATTCAAATATCAGCAGCAATAAGATGCATAATTACAAATTACCAGAATTGGCAGGAACTAACGCAGCATGCAAGTGGAGGCAAGAAACAAATTCTGTCTTACAGCCTCAAAACCTTAGTTTAAAAACTATCTAAGTGATTTTCATTCTGGTAAGGAAACAGAAAGGGAAAATTATAGCAAAGGCTGAAACTATAAACAACTGCTTAATTTACATAATAATAATTGGACATATCTTTAAAGAAAAATTTTCTTTCCCTTTATGTATTTGGTTTAATTCTTCAATACATTTACTCTTTATTTTAGAATTTTTGGATTTTATTAAAGATTTCTGTTATTCTAAAAACTAAATGCATTTAGAAGGTATAGGAAAAGGTGCTAATTTTATTTCTTTAGTAATATGAACTTTCAGAATAAATATGAAATGATATATGATAAGGGCAAATTACAGAGCCCATGTAGCAGAATTTTTAGAATTTAGTGACACATCGAGCAACAAAATCAAGAAATGGCAAAATTTTAGCATTTAGGAAGGCACTTGGTAGCAGAATTTAAGAACCACAGAGTTTATATCAGGTGGGAAAATGTATAGCACCAGCCATGTGTATGATGCACAGAGTCATTGCTAGGGTTTTCAGCGAAAGGGGACAACTGAAGATAATGCTCCCCATTCTGTATGCGTAGAATGAAAAATCATTTCACTCTAAAATTTTGTAACATCAATTTTGCACCCCATGGGTGCTGCTCCCAGGGACAAATCCCCCCCTAGATTCAAAGGCATTACACTAGAAATGCAGCAGAAATGTATAAGGACTTAAAAAAAAGGAGAAGAGAATTCATAGAAAGAAAAAGTAATCATACTTGGATGAAGTTTACAGAGATATTGAAAATCTGAAAACAAAAAAAGAAGCTCGGAAATTTTATCAGCTGATAAATAATATCAGAACTATTTTAATCCCAGAACAATAACTTTTAGGGGGGAAAATGAAGAAACATGAAGAAATCTAGAATTCTAAAACAGAAGAATTCTAGAAACATGAAGGAGGTTCTGGTTTGTTGGCATAAGTATTTTGAGGGTCTGCTTTTAGGTAGAGATAGAGAAGAGGACATAACTACTTATAACATGCTACCTACTATGAGTTGTGAAAGAAATATTATGCAGCAAAATCCACCAACTCTGTACGATGTTGAACTGGCAATCAAAAAGTTAAATAATAATAAATCAGCTGGACTGCATGGCATCAAGGCAAAGCTTTTAAATATTAATGAAACAAATTTACATAAAGCAATCCATTATCTAATTTGTTGTATATGTACATAGGAACAAATGCCCACTGAGCGGGAAGAAGGATCTGTTTGTCCTATTTATAAAAAAGGAGACAAGCTATGTTGTAACTACAGAGGAATTACCTTACTGAATTTAGCATATAAAATCTTCTCCATTATCTTGTATACACAATTGCTTACATATACTTCTAATGTTATTGGGACTTTCCAGTGTGGATTCCAGAAGGGAAAAAACACAACTGATCATCTGCATTGTATCAGACAGATCTTGGAAAGAAATAAAGAATAAAACATTGAAACCTACCTACCTGTTCGTTGACTTTAAAGCTGCCTGGAAATGGCATTATTAACTACTTGAAGCTATGTTGGAATTCAATATCCTGAAGAAACTGAGAAGCCTCACAAGTGAAGTGAAAGCAAGTAAGTAAAAAAGTGATATATAGAATTAAAATTTCAACATATCTTTCAGAACCTTTTTATAATGAGAAATGATTAAGACAGGGAGACTCACTATCTTGCCTGCTGTTTAATGTAGCTCTAGAAAATGCCACAAGAGACTCTGGAATAAACACAAGTGGAACCCTCTTACACAGAACCTTTCAACTGTTGGCTTTTGCCAATGATATTGATATCACTAGGCGGTCAAAATGAGCATTTGGTCAAGGCATTTGTCTCGCTTGAAAATGCAGTAAGAAAGATGGGCCTAATCATTAACGAAGACAAAACTAAATTTATGATCGCATCTGATAAAACTGTTGATTTATCCCCCTTGAAGATAAACAGTTATACCTTTGAAACAGTAAAACAATTTAAATATATGGGCACATTGATCATAAGTTGGAATGATATAAAAATTGAAATAAAAAATAGAATATTTATGACTAATAGATATAACTATGGTCTTAAAAAACAATTTAAATCCAAACTAATCAACATAAAAACTAAATTAAATTTATATAAAACTTTAATAAAGCCTGTTGCACTTTACACAAGTGAATGTTAGATGCTTGACAAAGTAGAGAAAGATCAAATATCAACTTTTGAAAGAAAAATCTTTGGACCGGTACAGCAAAATGGAATGTGGACGATTCTCTATAATCATGAACTATATGGAAAATATAAGAAATACGGTGAAACTGATATTGTGAGAATTGTGAAGGCATCTCGTATCAGCTGGCTAGGTCATGTACTTAGATATGATGATGTATTTCCAACCAAAAAGATAACCTTTTCGAGAAGTGAGAGAGTAAGACAAAAAGGAAGACCCCCCACTAGATAAAGTCGAGGAAGATTTAAGGTTAATCAGAATTAACTGATGGAAGGCTATTGCACCGAATGGGGTCAGGTGGAAGAAACTTGGAGAGACAGCCTTGGCCTGTAATAGGCTGTAGAGCTTATGAAGAACTTTGTCTGAAGCTAACACGTTTATCTCATTCATTTGTTGTTTTGTACATAATCTGTGATTTCTGTGCTAGTATTTTTTTTTTTTTTTTGCTGGGCCATTTTATTTTTTGTCTGAGAGATGAATGGGAAAAGAAGTTCTTTTGCAGCAATTTCAAATTACATATGATCATGTTTACTGAAAATTCTAACAATAGTATGGCTGCTCAGCATTTCTCTTTAAATGAAAAACACGTTTGAGAGTGGAGAAATCCTGACACAGATTTTGCTAACAGATCTTTTGTTTCAGCAATGATGCAGCAAACCAGCATTAAACATAAGTTAGAAAATTATGCAACTCATTTCATTGAATATAACTTTTTTCATAAACTTAAGAAATAAAAAATGTGTGATATTTAGCGATTTATCAGGCAAACTAATAGGGAAAAAAAAAAACTTCCCCGAGATTAGTGTATCTATATGTAAGCTGACCCTCATAATTTATCTTCAGAAAAAAATCCAAAATTCTTGGTTTATACACAGAAATATAGAATATGTATTCTTCAAAATTGAAATTGTAACATTATGAATAGCGATGTGAAAATAACAGGATCAGTAGATGTCAGAGGAATATGCAAATGATTAAATTCTTGTGTGCATCTGGTTACATGATACCCAGTTTCTGGCTATAAAAGTCAGTAGCTGAATCATTCCGTATATGATATCAATGACAGATTGCTGTAATGGAACTATTGAAGAAGGGTAGAAAATGCCTTGAAGACATCAGTGAACTGAATATCAACAGTCATTGCCTGAGGATTGAAAACATATTCTAGAACTGCATGAGTTCAATTTGTCACTGTGCACAACTGCCAGTTGTATTGGATGAGATATAAGTACAATTCAGCGATGTGTGGCATGATGGACGCAGGACCATCTGAGAACATGTCAAAGAGGCTGTGGATCATCCAGGAATACATCAGATCGCACAGATCAATACAGGCAAATTCGACGAATGTTTCACGAGGACCCGATCCCTGTGGCAAGTCATATTCAAACCTATCATTATAACAGAAGGGGTACTTGTCTCTTGCCGAACAATCCTAACAGGTTGCATAGGGCAGAGATGTACACATGGTGGCCAGCCACTTGGGTTCTTTTAACTAAGTGACACAGGGCTGTGTAAAGCATGTGAAAGGTTCTAATTCTTAAAATTTCAGTTTGGCAATTTTTAGAAAACCTCCATGTTGAAGAAACATAATCATTTATTAGTTTAAATTTATACAATCAACTGTTTAACCAGTTGGCTATATATCCATCCTTTCGCTTGGCACACATCTGAAACCAAAACATTCTACCACAGTTCATTGCTGATTTTACACCTACTGAACAGCTTATATCCTTGACACCAACCTGGCAATCACTTTTTGCTATTTTTTGCTTTCATTATCACATAACCATCAACTCATGGCAGACTGAAAAATGACTCATGCAGCGATGTCTATAACATTTTAAAATATGTTAATAATTGAATACTAAACAGCAGAATAACCTTTTATGTTGACATTACATTTGGGAATGATTACAGACTTCAACCAACTGTGCTGCGAAGAGTTGAATTTGTTGACGAGAAGTTTAACAAAAATTTCTTTCCACTTGCAAAAAATATATTTTATAAATGATATTCATAGGCTAAATGGTTAAATAAAATAAAGTCTTACACAGACTATTTTTTTTTTTTAGCTAAAGGGCAATACATTATTTTTAAATGTTTAAATTTCTTTAAAAAATTTCAAATCATTCTGCATAATATTAACTATAACTGTTTAACAAGGCATGGCAATTTAATTCTTGGAATGCTATTTTAAAAACATATGTATGAACACACACATTACAAGATATTGTTACCCAACACTGACTCAGATAGCAATTGTATTTTCTAAAAGTAGACCTAGAGCACATTTCCCAGAATATTTCTCAGTACTTGTCTACATTCTGCTGATGATCTAGAACCTGGAAAATTCCAAAATCTGGAATCATCGAAGTCCAGACAAATCTGATCTTGGGCTTTTTATTTAATACATTCCAAGGAGGACCTACTTTAAGAAAGCATATCCTAGGTCACATGAAATACACTGTATTTTTTTTTTTTTTTTTTTTTTTTTTAAGAATTTAACTTTTGAAGCCACTCCAGAAGCAATATGCTGCAAGTCCAAATGCTCTTTCAAAATTGCTTCATGGTCTTCAAATAATGTAAAACTATTGTCATTTGGTGAAATTGGAAAAGAAGAATATTTGTTCATCAAAACTAATTTTATTCAATAATAAGAAAAGGAAATTTGCGTTGTTATCAGATTTTAATAAAGATAATAAGTTTTGAAAACTTTGAAAGTGATTTTTTACATGCATAAATTTTAATTGAAGCATTCCAAATATTTTTTTGAATCATAGTAATATGCAGTGCAGTATATATAGCTCCTTTCTCTAGCAAACAAAGTGACAGCACTGTTTGATACTAAGGTACAACTGTGCTTTTAATTACAACAGATATTTTTATAACAAAAGCAGTGATACTTACCAACACTAGCTGTTAAAAATTTAGGTCCTATTCTGCTGTCAGTACCAATTCCATGAGCCACTTCACTGACATCTGCACCAGTAACTTCACAGATTGCAGATATTGAATTAATTGCAGATATCCTTTGAGCTAAAAAAGCATTTGCAGCCTATAATAGAATTATATAAAGATTTAATGAATAAATATACAGAAATACACATAATTAGTTCAAATTATTCAGAATTTCAATTAAAAAACTGACTTCCAATATAATTAAAATTGCTTTTTGCTAAAAAAAAATAAGCTATGCATTTGCCTTATGGCATTGAGGTGACTATGTTAGATAAAATGAGTAAACATAACAAGAGTGATGTAATAATAAGTTATACATACATAAAGCAGTACACAAATCACAGACCAATGCTGAAATCACAGACCAATATATAATAAAAAACGGTTTTTTAAGAAGACATTTATTTTGCAGCATTTACAGACATTTAATTTCTCAGATTTTTAGTTTCAGGAATGACTGAAGCAGAACTTAGTAATTATATTCCATGGACAATACTCACAACCAATTTTACAGATGTGGTCTTTATATGCATTTATAAAGTGTGATAATTCAATTACCAGAAAGAAAAATATATATATGGAACTGTATATTTATGGATAATGCTACCTTCAAAATTCTATATCACATTTTTCAGCCTTCTTAATCATTAGTTGGTCTGAAATAATATAAAACCCATACCGGCACAGGATCGACACTAGCATATGGCAGATAAAAAAAAAAAAAAAAAAAAAAAAAAAAATAGAAATTTGATTATGATGCAATTTAATCAGTAAGAAGTTTAATGCACATATTGACACAGTATGCAATGGACATTGCGTAATGTAGCAAAGGATTCTAATTAAAAAAACTTCTAATCAAAAAGGAAAGGATTTGATTAAACTATGATTTTCAAGATACCTGTATGGGATCAACACCAGCATAACAATAGCATAAAGGCTGAAACTCGAGTTGCATTGTTGATGTGCTGAAAGAAGCTGTTGGTTTTATGCAGTCAGTCTCAGTCATGTGCTGCATTTCTAAAAATTCTACTGATATATTAAAACTGGGGTTCTAAGTAAATGCCAGAACACTAGTTCTAAGATTTTAACAGTATTTATGATTTTCATATAAAAATTCATATTAATTCATTATCTAAAAATTTCAGTTGCTCATTTTTTTTTTAAACAACAAAATGCACATGCAAGTATCTACCTTCATGATAACTAATACTTGCCTCCATCAACCTAAAATTTACCCATATATTAGTTTACAAATGTTCAAATATTTGCATGAATTTTATACAGTTATGGCAGGGGTAAAATGATATGGCTATTCAGGGAAGGAAAATTATCCTAGCTTTAATAATGCTGAGAGCTATTCCAACACGAATCCCTCTACGAGCCTAAAAAGTACTTTGAAAAATACCATGCTTGGAGAAAAGTGAAGTAACGCTCTCTTGCATGATAGGTTAAAATTTAATCTGGAGCCTTTTTATCAACTTGCTGTTAACTGAAGGGAACATGCAAAAGCAATGCTCCACATTTTGTAGATAAAACTCTTTTTATGTCAGAAACAGGCTAATGGTCTGAGCAAGCGTAAGTGCAGTTCACTGTATAGATTTTATGGTTCTAAAACAAAATTCACACAACCAAGAAGAACAAAGACAAGATTTTCATACTTATTGTCATGTTTACACCCCAGGAAGCAATGGTTTCATGTCTTTCATATATGATAATGCTAAACTTTATGAAAAACAATTAGCAATCTCCTAACGGAAGCAAACTGAATGTACGGAGTAGCCAGCAAGTTTCTATTTCTTGAATACATCTGAAAATATTTGCTATTAACTCAGCAAAGATTCTCATTGAGGAATGGTGATGATATTCTTTTGTTTAGTAATCTAATTTTATGTTATGCGGATGTTCAGGAGTCTTAAACCATCCAAAAGGACCATACACCCTAGTCTCCGAGAGTGGGACACCAACATAAGTGCCCTAAGATAGACAAGACATTTTTATACATTTTGGTTGCTTGTCAAGATAGAAACCTTCACAAGGGTGCCCCTGCATAAAGATATAAGCATCCCTATGAAGACCAGTACACAACTTGAAAAATACAACCTTCCATCACATGGGTGCCAGAATCCTTGTTTGCAATATTTAGCATAGTATCTACTAATCTCTACTTGCATCACCCACTTAATCTCTACATCATTGCTGATTACAATACATTACAATCATCCACTTAATCTCTACTTGCATGATAGTGTTGATATTTATGAAAGCTGCTTTTTTGAAAACTAAAAACTGATTTTGATATGGGCATGAGCACATTATGCTGGGGCACCATTATGAAGGTTTCTATCATGTCAAACAGTGGCCAATCTGCACAAAAGTGCCAGCAACTTTATAGAAACATATATAATTACAGTTCCATTATCATCCTTAAAATCACCATTTTTATTTTGTGCAGATAGGTACAGAATTGTATAGCATATCACATTATGAACAACGAATGATAATCTTGCTAATAAATTGCCTGATATAGCCTTTTCTTATCTATATTAACTAATTTGATATGCTATAGTTATTACTGTAAATATTGCTATTCTTACCAGTTTTGTGAGCTCAGAAGACCATGTATTCATGGTTAAGATTTTTTCCTCTGGTATCCACCTTTTATAAAGTGTACACAATTCTTGCACAGCTTCATTACCTTCTGGTGTTTGGTCACCACCAATTAAGATACGATCTGGATGTAACAAATCGTTGATAGCAGATCCTTCAGCTAAAAATTCTGGATTCGAAAGAACCTGAAATAAGATTAGTATTTATCAATACAGATTCAGTTATCAAATCCAGGTAAACTAATATAAAATATGACAAAATTAGTGTTACATAGAATACAGATTGAATACTATTCATTGCTATGTAAAATAAGCAATAGCTTGGCTTTTGGAAAAAGGTGGAATTTAAAATACATACCGGTTGATATTATTGCATTAAAATTTCTGTCCATGTATGTGTTTTTTAAATAAAATTGGTTAATTTTTTTAACTTAAAATTTCAATAGTATTGACTAAATGTTCTAGAAGATTTTTTTATAGAAATACTTTCATTAAGACATTAAACAATATAAAATAACAAATTAATAATTTAATTTCAATATACATTTGTGTAATTCTACAAATCTGTTCATCACATCACAAAGTTGCAAAAAGGCATACGAATAAGCAAATCAATTCCAACAAAATGCAGATGAAAGTTTTTCATTTCTTTCAAAAATGTTGTTATAAGAATCTTAAGATTTTTAGCCATACTGTGAAATTTTTTAAAATTTTTTAAAAAGATTTCTATCGTGTTCCCCCAAATTAAAAACCTTTATATGCCATCAATGCAGCAGTTTCACCATACATAATATGTATGGTGAAATACGTAATAGTCCTTCAGGAAATACAAATATGTAAGAGTCCTTCAGGAAGAACTTCATATTCCTCCTCAAAGGCTGATACCTTTGTGCGCTCTGCTATATTCATTTAAACAAATATGTCTATAAAAAAAGGTGCCTACTTTACCATTGATTATGAAAGTTAGCAAATCCAGTCGAAGTTTGAAGGAACAGACTGCTTTTTACTTAGTTAGATAATTGACAGATATAAGTTAGGCTGTTTGGCATACATCATGCTGTTATATACATGTTTGCTTGTTACAGTTTTTCATGTTGCATAACCATTATTTATTCATTTTCAAAAAGTCTCATATCATGGCCATCAACCCTCTCAGTGTTATAGATATAAAATTTCGCACAGAAGGGTGGCTTCTATGTACATTACATATAATTTCTGCCATCTTTAAATATAATGGATTTCGAGTCAGATGTATATTGAAAGAAAAGGAATCAAAGTGAGAGAGTTGTGTTTTAACTGTAACAAAGAAAATACCATTTACACATGACATTCTGAGGAACTCTGATATTTCAAGGTTAAACCCATAATGCTTGAAGGATTAATGCATGCTCTTATTTTATGCCGTGATCCCATAACATAAAAATATTCGACTGCAAGTTATTCTAAAGAAAGTAGGTTGAAATTTTAATAATTTTTTTTTCAAAATAAGAAAGAAATAACAGTTAACCTATAATTTTCTTTCTAGAAGATTGTCTTAGCATTAAGATTAAGTAGACTGTCTTATTGAGCATTAATCAGGATTTCATAAAACCAAGGTGAAAATATTAAAGTGTGCTATGAAGCCACACTTATCCATTACTGACATTAAATCACACTGATTATATAGTTTTTTCAAATGATTAATGAAAAATTTTGTAAGCATGGGGGAAAAAAAAAAACTGTAGTTTAAGAAATCCAGAAATGAACAATTTTGTTCACATACTTATTTCATTTTCAAACTTCGTCTTAGTAACTGATTTGATATTTAATTTATATAAATGCACTTTAGTTCATTACAGCAATAAGCAGTAGTTCTATCAGCCTACTTGATTACTTTCTGAAAATCATTCATGGCTTAAAAGTGTCAAAAGTTAGGCATTTGTAAATAATAACTTTTTTTAGACAAGCCAAAAAAAAAAAAAAAAAGTTATAGAAAGTGTAAGATTAAAAAATCTGAATCCTTATGTTTACAAGTAAAAAGTTAAACTTATGTTTTAGTTAAAGACATAATAAAGTGCTTGTGTCATCAGTTATTGGAAGCTGACTGGAAAATGGCATAACTACTTTAGTAATAATAGCTAAAGTACAAACGAAAATACCACATTTTAAAGATTTTCCAAGTGGCTTTCTGCAATAACAGGAAAACCCTTAAATTTCATTAGACATTTACCTTTAATTGATTGATTTCAGTCAAGACTGGCAAGTTTTTTTCCCAAAGTGATAAAAAAAAAAAAAAAAAAAAAAAAAAAACCACACCACTGTATAATTGGTTAAATTCAGCATTCCAGAACTAGTTTCTGATATAAAAGTGGCAATAGCTACCAGAAATTCATTAAATAACTAAAAAATTATTGTAGAACAGTAAGCAGTAGGGAAAAAATAATAAATGCTTCATAACAGATTCAGATAAAGAGAAGAACATTCCTAAGTTGTAAGAATAAACCTCCTTTCTTCATGAACCATTTTTATTTTACACCCATTTCTTTTCTACTTCTGTTATTGATGCTTTGACTACTTGTATAAAGTTACTATCAGTTTTTTACTTATTACCTTGTATTCATAGAATTGAAGAAAATATGTAGAGTCACTGTTAGTATGAACATGATTAGTAATAACAGATAAAGATTCCAACCTGGGTACCTTTAAGTTACAGTTAAAAGTGAGGAACCTTAAGAACTGATAAGCGAATAATCGCTTGAGTTCATGAGACAGAGAACAAAATGTGAGAAGGGTTAAATACCCTTTATTATTCCAAATAAAGTTTAACAGATGGATGCTTTCTTGGAGTTACAATAAAGCCTCCACTCAGGTTTGAACTCAGGAAACTAAGAACTAAACTAATCTAACTAAAAAGATAGAGCCACACCTATCAAGATTCTAACAAAGTTGGCCTCTTAACGTTAATTAACGGCAAAGATACCAAGGGCTTAAAGTACGGATGATCATAGAAATAGCTTTAAAGAGAGAGAGAGTATAGCCCAAAAGGTGAACGCATGCTAATCAGAATCTCTGGCGAAGTCAGTAGAACTTCACAGTTAAATACTTCTCCTCATTTGCATTCAAACGTGATTCTGAAAATATGTTCTGGCCGGAAGTTATAAGCTGAAATTCAGGAAGATAGGAAAGCAACCTCTAACTAAAAAAACAACTGTTAGAAAAATTAACATAAACCTTACACAGAATTATTATAGATGTCTGAATCCATTAATCAGGTTTTACCAAGGACTTGGTTTTCAACTGGTCAGTAGAATCTCCGAGTTCAATTCATCAAGTACTTTATCTAGTATTACAGGCTCAAGCCTTTTAATATTTATTGATTAGGTACACTATCCAGATTGTTTTTCTTCTGAAAAAATGTGTAACATAATTTTGGTAAACTGATCATAGTTATTAAAGATGAATGATCATTGCCACAGAGTGGAATATTTCAACTTTAAAGGCGTTTTGCTGCTATCATATCCAAGATATTTTTAAAGATTTATTTTAATGACAATTCTATCATACTGGCATCAAGACTTGTCTGTTTTAGTTTCTCTTTCTCTGACTCTTTTCAGTTTCTCTGTGAATTCAGCAGGATTATCTACAGCAATGTTTCCAAAACTTTTCTCTTTGTGAAACACTTTTTAAGTTAAAAAAATTTTAAGCAAATTTGGGTTTTTAGTTATAATAAATTAAATTTAGCTATATTAAGATACAAAATAAATATTTAATCCAATTTTTATATCATACATGTAAAATGAAATTTTTTCAATTTTTAATATTATAAAAAATAAAAACATTTTTAGTTTTCAATGACTTTGCTTTAAAGACTCTTTAAAGGTACAAAAATGATTGCAAAATAAGAAGCAAAAATTGCCTTTTTAATCCCTAGTAATAATAATTAATAATCCATAGCAATAATAATTAATAAAAACATAATAGACGGGCAGTTTAATCCCAGGCGTCCCACCTTTTTATGTTTTTATCTTCCAGACGAAAGCTGCAAAATTCTATTTAAAATACATACAATAACACCTTTCAGTTTTCTAAATGTATAACAGATGGCAACACTAGTATTCATTCATGGAAATAATGTAGAAAATATTCTTTGCAGGTCTAATTTTAAAGCAGATTTTTTTCTTAATTTCTCATGCAATTTAAATCATCTGAACAAAACTTGGTGTTATAATGAATATTTTCATCTGAAAGTTCCCTTTGTTAATAAATATTATTATTTGAATTCATATATATTCATTAAAATGGTTGAAATTAAAAGGTGGGACAAACACATCCCCCTGTGCATATAGGAAATGCTGCTACTAGGTGGCAGCAACATAATTTTTTTTTTTTAGTAAATTGCAGTAACATTAAAACTTGAAAAAGATTTAGTATTTTTTCTGAAAGATTTTCTTTTTTTCTGAAAGATTTCTGGCGGTACATGGATACCGAGTTTGTGCAATTCTTTGACTTGTTATTTTGGCTTTACAAACTCTTTATATCCATGGTATCCATGTACACATTGACCTATTTTCACTTAAAAATACATCAGAGAATAGCACAAACATGGCACTGTGCACTCCCTTAACTTTGTCCATGTACACATCGATCTATTTTCACTTAAAAAGTCAAAGAAGCACCTTATTTTACAGTAGAGCCAAACAAAAAATACATAATCTTAATAAACTACATTTTAAAGAAACAATAAAATGAAATAAAAAAGGAAATTCATCTTATGCATCTAAGTACTACACAAAGCAAATATCCCCTTATGTTATTTAGAAATTTCTACATCTTCAGTCTGTGGCACACAAAATTCCTTAACAGCATCCAAAAACTTCCTAAAATTATCTGAAATAGAATCTGTATATCGGTGTCACCACATAAATTCACAAAAAGAGTAAAAAATATCCTCCATAGTGCTGCCATCCTCTGACGTTCAAAACAATACGCATTTCCCCCTTCCCCAGTTTTCTGCATACCGTATATAATCAGAGTGGCTTCATGGAACTTTTATTTAACAAAAAATGCTGCATGCATTCCAATCCTGTAATTGTCCACATTAAGGAAGGGGAAAGGGTGTTTTGAGTTTTATTTCATATGCATTTCAACTCATTTTAATTACAACTGTTTCTATCATTATGCATAAATGAAATTTTAAAAAAATCATATAGCACTGCACTCAAAAGGAATATACAGCTCTGTTTGTTTTGAAAACATGGCACTCTCTGGCAACTGTATATCTGATATTTATGAAATATGAAAAACTGCTATCAGCAAGTTATTTTAATGATGGTTTACCCTCACAAAAATGTTTTACTTTCAATATGGGTGGAAAAAGAAGTTGTTACTTGGAAAGATATTCCAGGTTTCATGTTTGCTTTTAGAATGCTATTAATACTCTCTGCAGCTCGCACAGGAACAGTGCTCTTTTCAACAACAATTTTATTACTTTTGGCAACTTCAGCAATTCTCCTACCTGCAGCCTCAATGTACCTTAAATCAGCTGCTCGGCCCTACAAAATATTTAGAAGTAGTTATGAAAACAGTACAATAATCTAGATGCAAAAATCAATTAAGATACAATAAGTGGTTATAAATAAAAAAAACTTTCTTGTGATTTATAATGCTTAAAATTTAACAGAAAAATCAAAATTCAAAAGCATTTACCTTTCCAAATCCGAAAGTTTTAGTTGGTGTGTTGACTGAAATGAATATCAAATCTGATTCCTTTATGGCAGTATCAACATCTGTTGTAAAAAATAAATTACGGCCTCGGCATTCTTTAACCACATCATCCAAACCTGGCTACAGTGACAAAGAAAATAAATTAAATACAATAACTAAACAAGAACAAACAAACAAACAAACAAAAAAGAAAGGTTTTAGATTTTAAATTACGTCTAAAGGGGCTTTTTTTAACGTTTTGTGTTACCTTTATTTATTAAATATCATGTTTTTAAACTATAAAATTCAGTTCAATAGCAATGTCTCAAAATAATTTTAAAATGAGCATATCTTTAGAATTTCCAATACAAAGTTCCGCACACAAGAGATAAAAAGGTACAACAGCAAAAAATTGGCAGCAGCAGTTCTAATGTAAACTATTTAAATTTGGCGAAATAAAATCCAAAATCATAGCCAGATCTGGCTATGATTTCTTTTACGCCGAAGTCTCAGTTCCGTAAGTCACTTGCAAACAACCATTGTTAATGACAGCTAAGCAACGAAAAATATTAAAATAATTTTCCCACAGAGTCCTGAGTGTTAGCTCTGTGGCATAGGTTACTTCAAAACACCTTCAAATCATACATTGACATCTTGAGTATTCGTAACTTGAGGCACCATTGGTAAAAATATATTTACGGGTACCCCTTGGCAAAAATTGGCAATTTTTGGCGGTACATGGATACTGAGTTTGTGCAATTCTTTGATTTGTTATTTTAGCTTGTGTAGTGGTGATTTTTAAAAACCAAAATAACGACAAAAAATTGCAAACTCGTTACTCATGTACACATTGACGTATTTTCACTTTAAAAAACATCAGAGAATTGTGCAAACTTAACATTGCGCACTCCCTTAACTTTATCTGCGTACACATCGACCTATTTTCAGTTAAGGAAACATCATAGAATTACACAAACTAGGCATTGCGCACTCTTGGCGATAAATGAAACAACTTCGCAATAACACAAGGGGTACCCTTCTCTCTACTCTAATCGGCACACTCTGCTATCACAGGTGTTTTGTGTTCAAATAACTTATTCATGAACTGAACAATTCATGAGTTCACTTGTGATATGAAGTCTCACTATATTTAAATTTTTCATTTCTTTAAGTTTTATTATTTTTTATCAAAAGAACCCCTGCAAATTAATAAAATTTTTCAATTGATTTAATTTTTATGCAAATCTATCAACTACTAAAGAATTTTGATTCAGCAATTAATTATAGTCTGTCTACCACCCAACATTATGCTACGTCAGACTATCCCACCATCGGACTTTTGGTGCAGGCTCTATAAGAATGGAATTTGGATTTACTCATTTGCAATCATGGATAAGTTCTTTGCATCTCTCCCCACACTGAAATGAATTCACTTCCATTCCTAACAGGTGAGGTCATGTCTCTTCCCGTGGTGGACGAACTATAGTCCGATATTAAAATTAAACAAATACTTAATACAACGACTCCATCAAATAGTCTGAAAACTTACAGCAAATGAAGGAATGGAATTTAGCTATTCTTTCAGCTATGACTCAATACGGAACTTTTAATGACAGCCCAACTACATGGTATTTTCCCCAATATAAGGAAAATTTATTTACTTTGAAAAGGAAGCAATACTCCCCTCCCCAAGAAAAAGGTGTTTAAACCTGGACTATGCAATGGTATGAGCAGGATAAATATTTTACTTTCATAATACTCACCTCATATACTGGTAATCGGTCAGAATTCCACGCTTTGATTCGAGCTTCATTTTTGTCTGTGACTACTACTTTTATATCAGGACACTTAAAAGCAATAACACTACATGTAGGTCCCCCAACATAACCAGCACCAATACAACAGATTCTTTTGACCATTTTTAAATGTTAGCTATACAAAAGAAAATGAAAGCCTAAATTAAACTGCATATTATATAAATGATAAATATTATAATCAAATTAAAAATTTTTATATTATCCTTATTCTTAATAATTAACTGCACAATGCCAATACAATTCATGGTTAAAAACTGTGAAAACTATTAGATCTTTTCAAGTTCAGTTACTGATGCAAAATGGATTGGCTGCATAGGCTATAAATTTCTTTATTTCTAGAAGTATGTTCTTATAGAGTTTGTTACAACTATTCCAATCCAATACATAAAGGACTTCTTAAACCCAGCATGCATACAAAACAAAGACAAGGATCTCTTACATATATTTTCTTTTTAAAAACTAAGGCCTGAAAAATATAATTTAAAAATGCTCTCTTAAAAATTCAAATGAACCTGTAGTACCACAAAAGACAGCAGATGTAGTAGTCATTATATATCTTTTAAAACTATATGACATCAATGATTTTAAAAACCGATTTTTGGTAACTTTATCTATATCCTCAGTTTTATTATTCAATAGAACTGCTATATTTTCAAGCACACATGCAAGAGCAGCCAACCCAGAATGCAGGTATCATGCTCATATTCTAATGCACACAAATTTACCACATTATCTCACTGACTATTAGCCAGCTATAAAAATGCAAACACTAGCCATATAAATTTTTGTTTTTCCTTGCAAACTTTGTTTTTATAAAATGCTTCTATTTGTAATTACTTATGAACAAAAGAGTACTAATGAGTTATAAAGTTAACCAAAGAAGTAAATTTTGTCAATTTACAGACATCAAGGAGAACATATTTTGTGGAGGTGCACATAATCAAAATTTTGTCCTATTAAAAGAAAAAAGCATTTAAATCTAACTTGGCAACAATTAATGGGTATTTTTGAAGATAATAATCACGATTATATGTCTTGAGCAGAAGAAAGTGTGAGCATGTTATTAGGATAGTATAAAAAATTGATTATCATAACTTATTTACTATCAATCTTAACAAGGTCTAAAAGCTGCAATCCCATAAACAATATTTCTTTATACATAGCAGCATGCTGCTGATCTTAGAAAAATCACTCTATTGGATGAATGGTCATGAATGATGAAAAACAGATTTTATTAGTTAAATTTGACAAATCTGCATAACATGTATCCTCTACCAAAGAATATACATAGACATTCTTTGCCTCTACCGTCCCTACGCTATAACTCTCACGTTAATGCTTCACCTTCTCAGAATGACTCCACCCAAATTTGACTTCTCCCATTTTCTTTTTGCCTGCCCCTACTAAATTACAAACCAGCTCCATTCCATCATTTAAAGACAGTTACCTTGGTGTTTATTCTCTATACACCGCCACTTGCCTAGAAGCAATCTTGCTTTTAAGCATGAACAAAGGAGATGACAACTTTGGCGAACGCCGTTTTCTCCAGTCCGTGAGGACCTAGGAGCAAATCCAAAGACATGTTAAAGGCCACAGTTGCCAAATGTTTGTGCACCACCACAATCGTAATTAGGTTGGAAAAAGTTTGCGCCAGATGCTCTCGAAATTAACGCTTGCCTAGGTTTAAATCTTAAGTGGTGTATTATTTTTGCATCTATTATTAAAGCAAAGCACTCAAGAGATTAATGCCTAGGAAGATAAGGTGACAGATTCTTTTAAGGAAGACTAGACTCGTATTATACATTCGGAAAACCACAAGGAACTCACTCGTTCAACTGCAAATCAAATTCAATAGGAACTATCAGTATTTTGGGGCTTTAGCCATTGGTGGATATCAAGTGAACATGAGGAATAAAATCATAAATTACACTACAGTATAAAATAATTTATAAATTACTTCCATCATAATATCAAGTAACAGTATGCGTTTTTATGATAAAAATGATTTCAAACTACTTTAGTAAAGAGAAAATAGTACGTACTAATTTGAGCTCAGCTCTTAACTCAGCGTTTACACACGTCAAATTTCAAGGATTAGCCGGTAAGCCCAAAAACAAACTACACGTCAACTGCCTACGATCAAAATTACAGTGAAAGACAAGTATTAAACAGCTTCCCACATGGCATATGACAGTCTAGTTATGTATTTGATCATCTCTTGAATATTGCATTGCATAAAAGGATGATGGTTTATTTTTTCGCAGATATAACACCAATAACCAAAGCTTGAAACAACAGTGTTCTTTAAAGTACGCAGAAAGAAGGCCAGAGAAATGTTTCATTCCCTTCCTACTTGTTCCCATTTCACATAATTTCTCTCCACTGATGTAATGAAATAATATTGCATTTTCTTTCTACCTACATCTCTTTTGCACGTCAATACTTTATTTTTTTCCCTGCGGGCAGAAAGTCTCTAAAGTTCTTATTTCGTTTGTTTGTTTATATGGATTACGAGTGTGATGTATGGTGTGTTTAGGATTTTGTTATTGTATGATTACCGCGCGAAATTTGATTGGAATTCGCTGTTTGTGAAATTCAGTGCTTTTGATACGGAAAAGTTTTCTTTTGGCGATATATTTTCTACTGGTAATTCAATTAATTCGAATGTATTCTGTTTCCAGAAGAATTGTTTGGGATTATGCTTAGTGAACTTAAGCGTAAACCTGATAATGACATGGACAGTGGCAGCAATAAAGAGATGAAAACAAATCGGAACTTTTATAGCGCGGACACAACCGCTATTGACAATGTCAAAATAGGCTTTTAAAAATGGCACAAAAGAGGTAAAAATTGTTCTGAAAGGAATTGAATCTGGTATCCCTGGTTGGTAAGTTGTTCAAAAAAGGTTCTATTCTAAACGAAATTACTGATAAAGAAGATAATATTTATATCACGAGAGAGAAAAAAATAATCATTTCCACGAAAAGAATCAAAACTATAGAAAAAGTCTGTAAATTAAAATCCTTGGAAGGTGTCGGAGTAAAGGCCTCAATAATTGAAGATACGTACACAACTAAACATGTAGTTAAAAATGTTGATACTCAACTTAGTTTAGAAGACATAGCAGCTGGCCTAGAAGAAAGTGAAATTAAATTTTCATGTATTATAAGATTCACTAAGCCAAGGTCGGACGAAAAAGTACCAATAATTCTCATTAAGGAACTCGGTTCCTGTAATCGGTCTGATATCAAAATAAGTCGAATAAATTTTGCGGTAAACAAATATATTGAAAATACCATAATATGCTACAAGTGCTGTAATATAGGCCACAAGTCGAAACTCTGCAAAAGCAAAGCGAGATGTGCGAACTGTGGTAAAAATGACTGCAACGACCCATGTAAAAATAATACCAGTTGCTTTAGATGTGGAGGTGAGCATAACGCTTTAGACAAATCTTGCCCAAAAATAAATATAAAAAAAAAAGGGAAGTGAACGGTCAGAAGCGTGAATCTTCATCGAAGAAACCTCTCCAGACTTCCAGTTATTCTTCCTGGGCAGAAGCTGTCCAGAAAGAGGAAGAACAAAACTCTACTAACACCCACACAAATATATATACTAAAGGCTCGGTATTGGAGAAGCCAGGGGAAAATGTTTTAAGTAAGATAGTCGCAAGATTAGAAAATCTCGAAAGGAAAATTGATTCTCTTTATGTAGATAATTTAAATCTTAAGGAAGTCAATAACAAACTTAAAACTGAAAATACACAACTTAGAAGCCTGTATGAAAACTCCCTAAAACAGATCCAAAAATACAAGGAAGATCTTGAAAAGACCTGCCTTGCATATGAAAATCTTCAAACAGAACATCTAAATTTGAATACTATTCATCAGGCTAGTCCTCTGATATCTTGGAATAATGGGCCAGACACGCTTCAAGAAGAGGAAATTCCTCGAATTGATGATGATACTTTCTAATTTCATGTGTTTTATCATTAGTTGGAATTGTCGAGGTTTCGAGGCGAACTTAAGTTTCTTGTCTTCTTTTGTTTCTTTGTTTCTTGGTTAAAACCTTCTGTTGTGTGTCTTCAGGAGACCTGGAGTAAGAACCCTAGGGTTCCTTTCCTTTCTGGCTACAATAGTTTTTTAAAGGAAAGAATTTTTCCCAGTAAAGGCGGTTTCCTTGCCATTTTTGTGTTAAAAAATCTACCTGTTATCCAAACTTCCAGATACTGGAATTAAATCTGACATGGAAGTTCTAAGTATCAAAGTGCATGCTTATGGTAAAACATTTACCATTGTAAATTGCTATAGGCCTTCCGGAAGATTTAAACTAGAAGACTCGATGATATTGGATTCCTTTAAGGATCCTTTCACGATCGTGGTTGGCGACTCGCCATAGAAACGCCCGCCATAGAAATTTTGGAGATTGCATCGCCCAGCAGTCAAAAGCTCATGAATTGGCTAATTGACTCTAATATGATCATTCTAAATAATAAGAAATCTACTCATATTTTTCATGGCCAAGAAAGAGGAATCCTCGACCTTTGTATGGCAAATGTCAATATCGCGTCTAAACTGTCGTTCCAGAGACTTGAAGATATGTGTCAAAGTGATCATTTCTCTGTGTATCTTAATTTTAATCATAGTTTTAAGAAGAGACCTGGAAAAATTAAAAACTATACAAATTGTCGAGATGTCAGTCTATAACTGTCATGCTTGCCTGTGAGTCACGTTGGTAATATGGAAGATAAAGTTAATGCTTATACCTCTGTAATTAACAGCGCTATCAAGATACACTCCAGAGAAATCACCTACAAGGTCGAGCCAAAAAAACCCATGGTTCAGTTTGGAGTGCGCCAAATTCAAACATCTTAGAGATAAGTTGAAAAGGAAGGCACTAAGATCACTTAATCCAAGCGACTGGGTGGAGTATAAGGGTGCAAACGCTAAATACAAAAGAGAGCTAATAAAAGCAAAACGTAAGTACTGGGCAAAGATTTCCTATGAATCCAATTCTTGCAAGGAAGTCTTTAAAAATGTAAAAAACCTTAAAAAATATCTATTGGTCTCTTCCTTGGCGATAAATTTTGGGATCACTCACTCCAACGCAGATGTATTAGACAAGGCTGCTCAGACGAATATTTTCACGGAATATTACAGCGCCAATGACAATACTACCCAGTCGGCTCCTATCGACTTTCTTTCGGATAAAATTGAGCCAATTTCCGCCAAAGAATTAATGTATGCACTAGTGTCCCAATGGAATTACTTACAAAAGTCTGAGGGTCGCTTCCAAATTTGTAAAGTGGAGATCTATCCTATCCACAGAAAAGCTCACGTCCAAGGGCCTTCCACAAGGAGCCATTTTATCACCTTTCCTCTACAATTGTTTCATGTTGGAATTTTGTAAACTGAATGATAGGAGTACCAAGCTTTTCATTTACGCTGATGATATCTATGCGCATGTTACTGTTAGGAATGACAGCCAGTATTCCTGCTTACAAGGCACTCTCAAGAAGATCCTTAGCTGGTCTGCTGAAAACAAGGTTGTTTTCTCCTTTGAGAAATCAACACTAATTGACTTTTCAAGAGGAAGAAATACTCTTCCCCCATAAGAATAGGTGATCTCAGTATTGGATTGAAAAAAGAGCATAAAATACTTGGCGTTATTTTTGAACCCAACCGCAGTTGGCGAGCACACGAGGCTTATCTAGTTAAAAGATTAAATAACATTTTAAAACTTGATCAAAATCCTCTCCCACCCAACTCAAGGAATGAGAAAAAAAAAAACTTACTAAAGATCATCCAGCAAATCATGATTCCCGAACTCATATACTGATGTGAAATCAGGTGGGGAGAATATCTCTCCTCCCAAAATAAGTACGATATATACATCAATAAAGCGATTAGAAAAGCCTTAGGGGTATGTCATTTTGCTCCCAACGACATCATTAGGAGAATTGTAGCTATTCCGCATTACAATAAGATAAAAAAATGGCAAAGAACATCGATCATAAATAAAAATTTCGGGGAGCCGCTTACTTTTCCCCCATCACTAGAGGTTCATTTTAAAAACGAAACAGAAGTCATGAAGAAAGAAAGAAAGAAAAGTTTTCACAGTACCCTTCTCTCAAGTTCGCTGGCTTCGAGCCCCCATAGTTGTGGGGGTGACGTCTTATCATTAAACAGAGATCACACCCACTGTTCAAAGTATCAGGTTTCATTCCTGGTTCACAGAAGAAAAGATAAACGGGATGAGTATGTACAGATGGACTAAATATGTTTGGTGGTCGTGTGCTTAATGCATGATATAATTAAAGAAAATAAGAGTAGACAATCTCCTATAACAAAAGAATATATTAAGTACTAAATTACAATTTAAATTACATTGCAGAGATCAACACAGAGCTCGGAACACAGTTCATGCTACCGTCGCGTACAGTTGTCTCACGAGAAGTCTGAGTGAGTAATGACGTCGCTTTGCTGCTCCGATTAAGAACTGGATTTTACACGTGGCGCCATCTCATGAATAGAAGTTGAAGTATCTGTCGGAACGCCACAGTACCCCCCCCCATGTAACATCGGTACGTTATAAGTACTTTGTGTTAAATTTAACCTTTCTTCCAGATCTGGTAGTTTTAGGTTGCTCTTTAACGGGATGTAAGCTTTCTTCCGGGAGTGATGTTGATGAGGAAGTTGTTGGATCTTGCATTAGAAATGCTGGTTTGAGACGATCGATTCCAATCACTGATTGTTTGCCATTGCAGATGATGGTGAAATGTTTCGGTGTTCGTTTGACAACTTTGAATGGACCATCATATGAAGGTGTTAAAGTTGGCTTAATTGCATCGTTGCGCACGAATACGTGCGAAGATGTCTCAAGCGCAGGATGTACAAAATAGCTTGGCTGGTTATGCGAAGATGCTGGGGTTGGCGAGATATTGCTCATGGTCTCACGTAAACGTTGAAGGAATGTTGGAGGGTCGATAACTGGAGTAGATTCTGGGTGAAAGAATTCACCTGGCAGACGGAGGGTTGCACCATATAACATTTCAGCACAAGTGCTACCAATGTCTTCTTTGAATGCTGTGCGAAGACCAAGCAAGACTAGGGGTAAGGCTTCTGTCCAGTGTGTGCTACTGTGGCACTTCAGACCTTGTTTGAGAGATCGGTGAAAGCGTTCCACCATCCCATTTCCAGATGGATGGTATGGTGTTGTGCGAATATGGCGAATGCCAAGAAGAGAGGTGAGGGATGCGAACAAGTGACATTGAAATTGTCGGCCTTGGTCAGTAGTGATGGTGGTAGGCATGCCAAATCTTGAAAGCCACTGGGAGATGAATGCTCGAGCTACAGTTTCAGCGGATATATTTTCAATAGGAATGGC